TTTCTGGGAAGCTTTCATACTTATAATTCACTTTACCCTTTGTTTCTGCTATATTTTTGTGGGGTGGGATTGTGAGAACTGAGCAAAGGCTATTAGGTGGGGACGTGTCCTTGTCTCATGTATCATACTCCCTTTACATGTGTCTTTAAGCCCTGTAATTTAAACTGTTCCCAACAAGATGGCTTGCTTATCCTTGAATTTTACAGATAAGGCTGGATTTGGGAATAACTTCACCACAGTGGACAACAAGTCTACAGCCCAAAGTGTGGAAGGTATTATTGTGAGTGCCATGTTCAAGTCACTGATCACTCGCTGTGCATCCACCACACATGAGCTCCACAGCCCAGAAAACCTGGTAAGCACTTGATACCATGTTAACAAAGCTGTTTTTTCACTTGGGTGTCACTAGAGAGACTTTACAGTGAATGATTCATTCAGTTTGGCCAAATCCGTGTGGCATGTGATGCAGTCACAGCTGAAAAATTAAATATATGTGATGTCCTTTCTGCATGTCTGGCTTGGAACCTGGGAACTCAGACAGGAAAAAAGTTGTGCAGTCTCAATGAAAATTTCTTCTCTGCTCAAGAAGTTTCTGTGTTTTTCCAAATGAATAAGTAGCATAGTCTGGAGGGATTAATGAACAAGAAAAGCAGTTCTGGTTTGTATCAGCAGTAGTGGAGCCAGCAGGTCCAGGGCAGTGATTGTCTCCCTGTACTGGGCACTAGTGAAGTTGCAGCTCAGAATCTGGGCTCTGTGCTGGGCCCCTCACTAAAGGAGGACACAGAGGTGCTGCAGCATGTCCAGAGAAGGGAAACGGGGCTGGGAAAGGCTCTGCAGCACACATCCTATGAGGAGCAGCTGAGGGAAATGGAGTTGCTTAGCCTGGAGAGCAGGAGGCTCAGGGGAGACCTTCTTGCTCTCCACAGCTTCCAGACAGGAGGTTGTAGCAAGGTGTGGGTCAGTCTCTTGTCCCAGGTAAAAGTGACAGGACAAAACGAAATGGTCTCAAGGTGCATCAGGGGAGGTTTACATTAGATATTAGGAAAAATTTCTTCACTGGAAGGGGAGGTCAGGTATTAGAACAGGCTGCTCAGGGAAGTAATGAAATCACTATCCCTGAAGGGATTTAAAAGATATGTAAATGTGGAACCAGAGGCATGGTTTTTTGGTGGGCTTGACAGTGCTGTGTTAATGGTTGGATTCAAGGATCTTAGCATCATTTCCAACCTCAATTATTCTCTGATTCTAACACCACAGCTGCCATGAATGAACTTTCAGCAAAGTCAAAGGCAGTTCTCTTTATTAACCATGTGGCCCACCAGTGCCAGACTATGTGAATTACTGAAGAGCAGCTTGGTAGATCTTCCCATGGTTTGGACAAACATTCAATTTACTGAACAGGTGGAAGAAAGGAAGGTGTTGCTTTTTGCCATGTATGTGCTGTCTTCCCAGAGCAGTCAGTAGACTGGATGATGTGAGAGCTCTTCTTCCAAACTGGTGCACCCTAGCAGTGTCAGGCCATCTGCTGTATTATCAGAAATTAGGATTCTTTTTGGAAGCAAACAAGAAACGTTCTTGTATTCCATCATGCCAGCAGAGCTGTAGAGACAATGAAGTCCAGTTAAAGGGGTTGTAGTGTTCTGTGAGGTGAAAGGAGTAGGAGAAGGAAAACCAAATCCTCTAGTTCTTATGGATATTCCTCCTTTGGAGTGTTTCTCATAAAAGATTATTTGGTGACATGCAGAAAAACATGCCCCATTATTGGACCTAGATTAGGAGCACCAAGTGTAAATTTTTCTTATAAATTGTGTATCTTTCTAGACCCTGTTTTTGTGTGTAAAATGAAACTTATCCCTAAGGGTAACACTGTTAATTGTGCCTGCATGGAGAATACAGCATGTAGAACATGTGTGCAGATTTGTTGTTGTTTTGTCATTCTTTAAAGTTAATCTTGTGGTCACTATCTTACTTTTTAAAAAAACCTTAGTCAGGATACAGGTGCAGTTGTAAATTTGTTGGGGTTTTTTTGTTTTCCTTTGCTCCTTGCTAGGAATTTTCAGCATAATCCAAGGTCTTTCAGGAAAGCTCATAGATCAAAAGTCAAGCCCTGTAAAACTGTTCCCTCCATCCCCTTGCCCTCGGATATAGAGGTGATTTGCACATCACAGATGTGCATGAATGTTCAGAACTAAAAAGGGCCTTGACTGTAGGAGGTAGGTTGGGGGATGAGTGTCATTCCTCTCTCTTCATATGATGTGAAGCTCTAAAATAATGGGGGAAAAAAAATCTGAAGACACCCACTGGTTCTGAAAAAAACATGCAATTGTTTGCACTCTACATCCTCTCACATACATCTGAGATATTTAGTGCCATTTAAGTTTGTGGTCTGGATGAATGGTATAAAACAAACTTCAAGTCATCTTTGTAGCTCCCTCATTTCACAGGTCTTTTAGCCCCTGATACCTCTCCATCTGCTGTATCCCATTGCAGATCATGTTTCATAATAATAATGCTCCTCCTTGTCTGCTTCTTCTGAGTGCACTATGAGTTTCCAGCCAAAAACCACAAACCATGCACCTGAAGAGTAGATCACACAACAGCCAGAGGAGAAGTAATGGCCTGGTGAAGTACCTCAGAAAGCATTGGCTCTCACTGCTTCTTTAGAAACTGCAGGCTGAATTTGTTCTTTCTCCTGGTGTCTTGCTCCTCAGGGCTTGTACTGCGATATCCGACAGCTGGTCCAATTTATCAAGGAGGCTCATGGAAATGTATTTCGGAGGGTGGCCCTCAGTGCCCTCCTGGACAGCGCTGAAAAGTTAATACCGGGAAAAAAGACAGAGGAAACAGAGCAAGAGCCAAAACCACCTGGGAGCAAAAGGTGGGTATCAGGAGGGAGAAGGTAAATGACTGACTGGCATATGACTCCATGACTATCTGTGCTGAACACAAACATTGGAAGCCCAAGGGATTGTTTTATCTTTATAGCATGTCAGTTCTTGATGTACAGACTTGTGCTGTGGCAGCAGCCTCTTTTAAAATTTAATGATCTGAGACTGCAACAAATTTGCAGAGAAAAGCATTGGCAGGCTCATATAAGAGGCACAAGAAAACAGTGCCATGGCAACACTGGGATATGGAAAGGTTAAGAGAACTAAGAAGCATAATGTCACTCCCTAAACACTCTGTGGATATACTTTTTAATATGCATCACATCCTTTGGGCTGTGTACCTGTTGTTCTGACAGGTGAACCTTGGCATGCAAAAACAAGTCCCAGAAGAAATCTAATACTGAATGCTTCTTTATCAAAAAGAAATTTCCTCTAGTGCTTTGAGGAATTTGTCTTATTAAAATAAGACATGGAAGAAGGATTAAGAAAGTTGAAAAAGTCCTGAAAACCTTGGCTTTGCTGTTAAGAGCTGATGCTTTTTTGGACAGTAATATGTATATAGAGACAGTAAGTTGCTAAGGAGAGGGTACATCAATAAAGCTGCTTTGCAGGTTTCCATCTCCAGCTCTGTGTGATGACCATGAGATGGGCCATCCATTTCTTCTGGCTGATGATTTATCTTATCTGTGTAGATCTGAAGCAGGGAGTGTCATCATTGACAAGGGCCAGGCCTCAGCTGCCCCTGATGAATGCCGCAGTTATGTCTCGAGCCGCCCAATGCAGACTCCAGAACAGTAAGTAAAAATTGAATTGTTCAATGTTTTAGTGCCAGCAGCTTCCTTCTGGGGTTAGTACAAATGGACAGGATAGCAGACTTGCCTGCTTGGATGGTGCAACAAACTGTTGAGTGTCTACACGGGAGCTACTGCAAACAACCAGGTAATGCCTGTTCCCAATGCTGCCAGCTGGACTGTCTTGGTTTGAAAGACAGGTGTTTGCTGAGGAAGGCAAGAGCCTCTCTTGAAATGGAAAAATGTAAACCTCTTCCCTCCAAATGATTATAATTTTGAAATTAAGGAGCTCTTAGGAAAAGTTATGGAAATAGGAATAACAGTTCTTTCCTGGGAAAATTAACATTAAAAAAAATTACAGCAATACAAAACAACAAAACATTGACAGAGTCAGAATCCAACCTGACACCCCATCAGTCAGTCAGGGTGTTGGTGCAGTCCCATTAAATGGTGGCTGCATCCTCCTGCAGTGACAGGTGTGGTTCAGTTGGAGCAGTGCTCCTGTAGAAGGTGCAGTTTTCCTCCAAAGGTTCAGTGATGATGTAGAAGGGTCTGGTTTTCCTCCGGAATCCAGTGGGAAAAGGCTGCTCTGATGTTCCAAATCTCAGTTTTTATCTAAGTAGGGAATGCTTGGCTCTTCCCCCTGGGTGGAGCATCTCCCAATGGGATGATGGAATTTTATCAGTCATGCAGTGAGACCCAATGGCCATTAACAGGAGATATCTCCTGGAGGAAGGATGGGTTGTGAAAAAGATAAAGAACACTGCCCCAGCTGGTTTTATCAGATGGCTCATTAGCAGAGGATATCTCCCACGGAGATAAGGTTTTGGTTACATCCTGCTTTGCAACCCAAGACATGGACTCATCCTGGTTTTCATATGGAAACAGCAGAGATTTTCAAATGACAGTGCAGCAGATTTTTCAGTATTGTGCACCATACTACCGTAGCTGTGAATAGCACGTGAATTCCTCAGAGATTTAACCACACCTGTTCTCCAAGCTTTGTTTGTACTCCTGGGTGATGATTTTATTTATTTTCGACTTCCAAGTTGTTGCTAAGGGTCATTAATGCTTCACTGAGAGCCAGCCCATTCCTGACCTGCCTTGGGCACCTAGTCTCCCAAGACTGCACAGGGAATCAACCTGCTGTTGGCATTGTACAACTGAAATCTCTGTCCAAAGAATTCTGTCATTTGCTATTGAATTAAACTTTAACAATACTGTTAAGAATTTTAGAAAATTCTACAAATGGCCACCGGTCCCCAAGTAATTTTGAGCAAGTCATTGAACTACTCTGAATTCATGTCTGTCTTGTTAAAGAGCTTTGAGATGCACTACATGAAGACATTGCTTGCACAAGGGCCCAGAGCTGTACATCACGTGTTCTCCTGCCTTAACTGAGCCCACAAAGTCTCACTGTTGCTGAGACAGCAAGGATAACACAAAGCCTTCTACTGCTCTGCAGGATTGGAACAAGTTGTTCCTCTCTGAGCCCTGCCATAGCCATGGGACATCTCAAGAATATAGTAAAAAATGTTGTCCCAATTCCAGTACTTAATGAGCAGGTCCACAAATGGCTGTCATGATGTCCTGAAGCTTTCTGCTACAAATGCTTGTAGAAATTACTAATGTGGTCTTACAAATGTAGTTCATTTTGATGTAAAGAAGGTGATTTACTTTCATGTGTAGAAAGTAAAAATTGGAATGACCTGTTCAATGGCTTTTATGATTAGAGAGGAGAACTTAAACAAGCCCTGCCTTTGACTCAGATTTCTGGCAGTAACTCTTTTTAGGAGCATCCCACACCCCAGATTGCTCTCATTTCTCAAGTTCTTAATAACGGCCAATTAGATCTATTACAAAATGAATTCTTTATTTAATAGATACAAATTTAACTGTCATAAGACTTCAACAGGTTACTTATTACACAGGATAAACAAAAGAAACACTACTAGTAGATGAACTATTCAGTGCACTATAATAATAAGGTACCTATATTACAACTAGAGAAATACTATATATTAGGATTCAATGCATCTTACTATCCAGTTGCTGATGGGGCATACGTAGAAAATCTTCTGCTCTCATTTTCTGGAAAAGTAACCACGAAGATGCATTCAATCTTGGGGAAAGAGCCCTGCAGGTTTCCAGGGAGTGTGTATGAGACTTCCCCCTCCATTAAAATTTGTGTAGCTTTTACAGTTGTAAAGTGAAGTGTCTCTCATGATTCCTTGCTTATCTCTTTACATCTCACTCTCAAGGTGAGGGATGTTTACTGTCAGCTGCAGGTCTCATCTCTTTGGCACCAGAACCCCTTTTGGGCATCTGTGTGGCCTGGGTTATCTCACCCATGTGCACCAGCTGATGGGCAGAGCAGATAAGCTTTCTGTGGTAGAGGGGGGAATAATGTTCTGCCACAAAGCTCCCAAGGGTAGAAAAGATGGCTATTTTGTGTCTTGAACAATACTGAGTATGTTGTCAGGCTTATGTCTCGTTAAGAACAGTGTATTTGAAATTCAAAATGAAACAACCTCAAGTAATAGAGAGGTTAGGAGGGGGCTGCAGAAAGGAGGTCTCATTTCCCTGAGCATTCAGACTTCGCTGAAATGCAGTTCACACTTTGCAACCTTCTGTTCCAGCGATGAGCAGATTCAAGGGGCCAACCTGGGACGCAAGGACTTCTGGAGGAAGATGTTTAAGTCCCAAAGTGCAGCGAGTGACACCAGTAGTCAGTCTGAGCAGGACACGTCCGAGTGCACCACTGCTCACTCTGGAACCACCACGGACCGGCGCTCCCGCTCTCGCTCCCGAAGAATCTCCCTTCGAAAGAAACTCAAACTGCCCATAGGTAAATGTATGTCTCCTTCTGTTCTGTATCATCCATATTGCATGTGCAGAGAAATACAGACAGATGTAGCTGCAGCACAGTTCCTTGTTGTCTGTATATTCTCCCAAAAGAAGCCGTGGTTTGCTGCTCTGTCTGTTTTGCAGATGTGGAGCTGATGCAAAGGGAAATATGAGCAATTCGCCAAAGATATCAGGGGATATTTTTGTCAAAATTATTGAAACGTTTCCCCTAAATTACTATTCTAGTACTGTAATCTCACAGGTGCTGTTCCTGTCTGTAGATGAGAAATATTCCAAATTAACATTTATTAGACAGAGAATATATCCATTACAATTCCCAGGACCTGGCCTTGCATGGTAGTTAGTACATGTTACATGAAAATATAACCTTATGCTTTTCTCCCATTTTCCCATGCCTTAGTGCAGCCACTGTGGAGAAATATACTGCAATTGCTAAGAAACAGCAGTATATTCTAGAAAGAATGTTTAGGTTTGTACTGAGTGGCTTATTCTGCAACAGGGAATTGGTTGAAGCGCTCCTCCCTCTCTGGCCTGGCTGATGGAGTGGAAGATCTCCTGGATATCAGCTCTGTCGACCGTCTCTCCTTCATCAGGCAGAGCTCCAAGGTAAATGTGTCAGGCTGGGCTACAGGGAGCTTAAAAAGGCAGGATCTGGCTGGTTTTAGCTGCACATAGAAACGTTTTTATTCAATATGGACTTTGCAGCTAATGATATGCTATCACAAGTCTCCAGAGTTGAGCCATGGGAATTTGGTGCTGGACTTTTGTGCCTCGTGTGGTGAAGACTTGGTTCAACTTACACTGTACTGGCCTGGTGCACTGAGAGGCAAGTGCAGGCTCTGTCAACACACTTTAATTTTTTGGCCACACCTCTCCTTCCTTCTTTGTCCTTTCACAGCCTCTCAAGAGAGATCAATCCTTTAAGCAGAAAGCTTCAGCCTGTGTAGATCTATGCAAGACCCAGCTGTGCTCCAGCGGTGACCCTCGCAGCCCTTCTGTGTGTTTTTGTGTCTGACCAGCCCCTCTATCCCTGCACAGGTGAAGTTCACCAGCGCAGTGAAGCTCTCTGAAGGAGGGGGGCCAGGAGGAGGCCTGGACAACGGGCGGGATGAAGAGGAGAATTTCTTCAAGCGTCTTGGTAAATGGCGCACCTGCCGAAGACACCCATCCAAGCTTCATCACACAGAAGAAAAAGATGGTTAGAAATCAGGGTTCTCGTCTCCTTTTTTTCTTTCTTTTTTTAATCATTTTTCGAATATGTTTCTTTTCTGTAATTTTACCCCTTTCCCTTTTTTCCTGCTTTCTCCATGGTTTTTGTCTCCATCGTAGCCTTCTCCAATTTTTTAGTCTTTGTAACTGTTTTCTTTCCCTTCCTTCTTTCTTTTATTTTGATTTAGAAAAAAAGCTCTGGTAAATTTTATTTTTTTCCTAAAAAAATCAGACTGTCCAAATAAATTATACAATGCAACATTTGGGCTTTTAAAATCAAATCAAATTTGGTCAACACACTTGAAAAATCAATGCTTGCTTCAAAGCACTTACTCAGTTCAAAATTAGGTGTGTAAATCTTCTGTTGTCCAATACAACAATTCCATCAGTTTTTTTGTTTAGTTTTGTTTTTTCAATTTGTAACTATTTGACAGTTTTAGCAAATATCAGCACAGAAATGGAAAACCCTACACAAACCTTGTTGTAATTATCTCTTTTCTTCTGTGTTTGCATGTCTAGTCTCTGCATACCATTCGTTAGGGATGCTGTCCCTTTTTCTTAGCACACAACATAATAATAAAAACACTCCTTTTCTTTTCCACAGAAGTATATTTAACTGTTATGTATTTTCAAAGTCAGCAATGTCTGGAAAGTGCCTTTATGAATAATACAACGTCATGGTATAATCTGTTTCAAAATATCATGCAGTCATTGACATGCTCATGTCATCAGCTCAAAGCACATCCTTCTTGTCAGGGGGCCAACCTCGTATCTTGAAGTTTTGTTGCTTTTTTTTAAGACAACACAGCCAGATTCCCAAAAACACACAAAAAAAGAGTCAATTTTATTTTTTAGCATGATTTCTGTAGTTTTACAATATGCTACATTTTCTGGCATTATGTTTGGTTTTCTTCTGACATTACACTTTGACATTGCATCGTGTGTACTTTGCCATCCCCTGTCCCAGGCCTGCAGTGTAATGCACATAAGGCATTCTTAAGGCAAGTGATACTTGCAAAATATAAGCATATCTTGTCACTGTGAACTGTCCATTACCTGCCACTGGTGAATGGTGGTGCTTTTCAGTCAGCTCCTAGATGGAAAGTATTGTTAGTTTGTGAGAATGCATCAGCTCAGCACCTTGTTGTAGTCTGGTAGCATTCCCCAGCAATGGAAGGAATTAATTTCTTCATCCACTGCTTTGTGCTGAAGTAGGTGTGAAATACTTCCACCGTATTTCCTCCCAGCTCTCACTGGTTAAAAAATGGCCCAGGGGGCAGTGAGAACTTTCCAGACTGCCACTGCTGTTTCTGCAGTGCACCTGTGAGATGACCTTCATGTTTTGCTATTTACAAGAGTAATAGAAGTTCATAAGGCAAAGTGTGACACTCAAGGAAGTTGTGTCACTGTGTCTAGAAGGATCTCTGATATGCAATGAAAGCCACGTGGCTTTAGCAAAAATACTTGTGCCTGCCCTGTGTATGTGTGTGCTTGCATGTGCACAGTGATATCAGTGGGAGCATGTGGTGGTTTGTAAAGGTTTTCTGACGTTTTTCCTGAAACTAGGACAGAGCTAATTCATGGTGGGACAGTTTATAACCCAGCAGGACAGCAACAGTACACTGAGTCTTCCAATTTCCAGTGCTCCTCTGTCTTCCATGCAGATGATCGATTTTTCTGTGCTCAACAAGGAGAGAATAAAAGCCTTTTAATGTCAATGGGTGTATGTTAAATCCCTCAAGATCTGATCCTAAAGCATTATATTGGAACCTCTCTCTGCCTTCTCATTTTTGTCATTCATGGTGTTATGCTATTACTTTGCTCATGTTTTTTCCATGTGGTGTTTCCTCTTGTGTTTTGGGGTTTTTTAACAGTAGACCAAATTTAAGAGGTAATAGATAATGGAGAAATAAATGGCATTAAAAATTATAAAATGTAGAATAATTTGTGACATCATTAATGAACTGTAATCTTCATTGTGATTTATCATGTAGACCACTGGAAATTCTGTGTTATATATGTATGTATGCATATATATGTATGTAAGCATACACATGTGTGTGTGTGCATATGTATACATCTATCTACGCATACATATTTACACATTCATGTGTAAAAATCTTTATTTTAATGATCTTTTTGCCTAAGAGCAAAGCACATAGACATGTATACAGTTACAGTGCATTTACATGAGACCCATAATGTTCCTTTGGGCACTTACTGAAGATGTTGTGAGTGACCACAGAAATTGTCAGGGTGTTCAAGACACAGCAGCTCAAGTTTGCTCTGAAGGGTGAGCTCATGGTCACAGGAGCTTGTGTGTCTTCCTGCATTAGGAAATGGTCTCTGCTCTTTGGGTGAGACCTTCTGCAGGCCTGAGCAGCATGAGTGAGGGCAGTGAGGGCTGCCCTGATCACAGCAAGGCTACTCCAGCATGAGCATAACAAGGGACAGCCACCAGCTGCCTCTGAAGAATTGTCTTGCAAATTTTCAACAAAATGCGAGCTCCACTGACCTCAGGTGGACAAAAACTCTGCTGGCTCTTTATAGTGTGGGTTAGGGACATGCCTTAGGCAAGTTCGTGTTCTGTATCTCATACAGGCACAGACTTAACAGGGGCCTGAATAGGAAACATTTGTTTGTACCTCAAGTGAGTTAGTGTTATGACAGCCATAGCAGGAGGGCTCAGATAAAATATAAAAAGCTATGAGGAAACAGAAGGACTTGGAAGGATGTTTGTGACTGCTCATATGTGTAAGTGTTCTATTTGTTCTTTCTAGTTTGTTTGATCCATTTCAATGGGATATTTTCCCAACATAGGAACATTTTGTTTGCTGGTAACTAAGTACAGCTTCACTGGAGACAAGGAATTTGTAAAGAAATCTCTTGAAATTTGATATACCTCTGTCTTCAAGGGAAAAGTGAAGACATACATTCTCATTTTCGGTTGTGACTTTTTTTGTGCCACATAAATGCTTTCCAAGTAATTCTAGGGAGTGCATGCCCAAAAGAACTTCGAGTATCAGCCATTCTTCTTTCCTGAAATAGTCAAAAAGTCCTGTAGAGCTGATGTTTTTACTCTTTGTCTTTCAAATAATCTATGTTTAAAACCAATTTTGAATTCTCTACTCCGTGTTCTCTTCTTCAGTGCTTTATCCTTCAGTGTTCTGTAAACTTTTGTACTTTCAGATGTAAACAGGGAGAGTATTATGGGCAAAGATAAAAAGCTCAGAAACTGGACTATCCTTTTTTTTTGACCAAACACTTTGGTCTTGAAACAACTTTCCTTATTTCTTATCTCTGTCTTTCTGCCATTCTCTCAACTCTGGGTACCAACTGCATAATGATCTTCTGCACTAGAAGTGCTAATTTAGATTAATTGATTAATGATGTGAACTCTATACATAGAGTTTAAAATTGTCCCCAAAGTGAAATGCCATCTTCATTTTTGAATGGAACTCTTTTCCATCCCAAAGCCTACAAGACCCTTCAAGGGAGAGAGGCTGGAATGATGATATCTAGGAGTTGAGGCTGGTCTCACTTTCATCTTTACTTTTGTGGTAATTTTAGATGTGTGCCTGAAGAAAGGACAGTACTTGGTTTCAACATAGACTACGCATCCACTACTGATTTTTCTGTCCTAGCAGATGATCTATTACTAAAACGATCCATGAGGAATAAGGGTTATGCATGCTGCACTTAAATTTAAAGGCAATAGAGAAGTAAGGTAAGGAGATTATCGAGGAAAAAAAGACTGTAAGCAAGATGATCTGTGTTAAAGAGGTGAGGAGTAAAGACAACATCCTAGTTCACCTGTGTTGGAGTAGGTCCTGGGCTTCCATACTGAGTATGGTGGGACTGTTCTGGGCAGATATCAGTATGACCAATACCAAAATCTGACTAGTTGTATCTCTGTTTCATGGAAATCATGAATATTGTGAAAATGAACCTGTTATCTCCAAGATAACACAAGGCGAGGAAGGGATTTACACTGACTGTACTCATCAGGATTTTTGTTCCCCCATTTTTAACTGGTGAGAGACTGTGTTCCCTTCTCTCTACCCCTCCCTGCATCCCCTCTGTACTCTCTACCTCTTTAGGTTGCCATAGCTTTGATGATCACTTGACCTCCAAACAAGAAGGAGGAAAATCCAAGAATGTGGTGAACCTGGGAGCGATCCGCCAAGGCATGAAGCGCTTTCAGTTTCTGCTGAACTGCTGTGAACCAGGCACTATCCCTGATGCCTCCATTCTGGCAGCAGCTCTAGATCTTGTAAGTCATTTTTGGTCTCTTGTTACCTGCTGAGAGCATGTGCATTTGTGCTGGTCCACTGTCATTCACTAATGCTCCTCGTGCCCCACAGAGAGAATGCAAAGCCTCACAGCAATGCCAGCTGCTGGTGGTGGCATTAGCTGGGGCTTTAGCATCTGTGAGTGGGCAAGTTTGCAGACAAAATAGATCCTTCTTTATTATATCACATGGCTCCCCATAACTACAGTATTGCCAGTGCAAAGCTTGTGTTGTTGTCTTCACAGTTCGCTCACAGACACTCTGTTTCTGCTCCTAGTGTCAATCTGCAGAATAAAGATTGAAGATTGGATAACTGCTTGGAGAGGTGCAGGAATTCCATTCTCGAGTTCTGACAGAATTAGAAGTACGTTAGGCAACACTGAACTATTAGTCACCAGAGCCAGCCAGTGGAAATAAAAATTAAATCAGTGTGTGTGCTTTTAAATGTGGATATTGCTGATTTGCCAATGCAAATCAAAGAAGTGACACAGTTCCTTCCCTTCTTCCTGATATCCTGTATCTCCTTCCTTCTTATCCTTGCAGTTGTGTTTTTTTAACAATCCCTCCCATTTCTAAAGCTGTGGCCTTCAGCCCGTGATTCATGAGCCAGTGGGGCTCTGTGAGGTGTTTATGTGACAAGCAAGGAGTGTGACAAATGCAACTATGAAAAACCAGCCAAATATTAGCAACTTCTCTGCATGCTGCTTTTCTACTTCCTTCCATAAGCGTTTGGCTGTGTGCAAGCTGAGAAAAAGATTAAAAGCCACTGCTCTCAGAGCATCCACATGCTCTCGATCCCTTTTCGCCCCACCTCTCACCTGTGTGACTGCTGTGCCATTTGTGCTCAAATTCAGTTTTTTTGCTCACTGCTGGAGCTGCCAGGCTCACGGACTCTGCCTTCCTGCTAGTGCTGTGCCCTGACCTTTGCTGCATTGCCTGCTCCATGGCTGTAGGGATGGTATGCTCTGTGCACCACCTCCTTTGCATCTTCATCTTAACCTTGCATACTCGGTCTGCAGGTTCAAGCACGTCTGCATTGGTGCTGGTCTGGAGTTGCTGTTGTTGTTGTCAGTTCCCATCTAGCTCCACTGTTTGGAGTGGTCCTCACCCATTTTTCCAGCAGACACAGGTTTCGTTCACTGGTACCCACGCTTCCTGCCAGAGATTGGTGTTCCTCTGGATGGAAGAAGCTGTGGATGCAGTGGCTGATAGAATAGCCTACCTGGTGGCTCTCACCAGCCAGGGCTGCAGTGAGCTCAGGAGGTGTCTTGCAACCTGCTGAGGGTGTGACGCCCAACTTCAGTCTTCAAGGCTTCCAGGATGTCACCCCACTGCAAATTCTAAACTAACAGAGTTAGTCAGGTGTAAGGTGCATGGGCAGGAAAGAGCTCACTCCTAGCAAGTTTGTCACCAGGATCCTTCTGAAGATGCACTACTCTGTGTTCTAATAAATCAGGTGATAAAATGGGCTATGGCAATTATGTCCCAGTTTCCTGTAAATGTCTTACCTAATTTTAAAATTTCCCAAATGCCTAAGTACAGACCAGCTTACTCTGTGCCCAAGCATGAAGTCAGCTGGAAACTCCCAGCCAGAGTGAACTGTTTGAAGATGTCTGACTTCCAGAGCTGACTTTTACAAACTAAAACTCTCTATTCCACTGAATGATGGAGACAGTTTTGGTATTAGAATTTCTAAAAGGTCTTCAGCTAAAGATGAAGGAAGCCTTGCTCTAATTATAGCCTTGGGAGTCTCTAAGTACCTGTTCAGTTGGCATTTTGTCTACAAAGTATTGGAGATATGTAGATGTTAGGCAGTCACATGCAGTATATATTTTAAAAGATGACAGCCTGTCATCTCATCGTATTGGTTAATGGCAATGGAAAATTCCCATATTATATTTCAATAGAGTACACCCAAAAGGAAACATTCTGGGTGTTTTAACTTCTGTTTTCAGGCTTTTGAAGTAATAGCTTGAATCAGGTCTGATGCAAATGAAAAGCTTCTTAAGTCCTTTTATCCAGCCTGGTTGCTAAGGCAACCTTTAAAAAATGAAAGGCAAACAGTTCCAGTTTCAGTCCTTCCATAATTTTTCTAAGCATGCTTTTTCGTGCAGGTTTGCAAAATTCTGTTCTTACAACAACTGTGGAATCTTTGATCAGCCTGGGTGTTTGTACCGGTTTGCCACACTGATGTAGAGAAAATAGAACAGTGAAATAAATGATGCATCCTTATGGAGCTAATAATTTTTTATGTATTAAAATGAGTGTTGCCTTAGGTTTAGTGGCTGTGCAGTTAAGACATTTTCCTAGAAGCAGCCTTCATACTTTTAATTTTTAAAGCTACAACCAGTAATATATAGGTGTGCAATATGCTGACTCCATGTCACCCCGTGTCATAGGCAGACTCTGTTGTTCCCATGTCCCCGTTTCCATGGCAGAAATATTTCTCTGTGGAAATGCTTATGATTGGGAAGGAAGTCAGAGATTGCTACAGACAGGTCCCAGAGTAAAAGACAGGGAACAAAATCAAAGAACTGTGTCATGGACTGTACTTGACCGTTTTGTAGATATAATCAGAGAGGTCTGAACTAATTGAAACAGGCGATTCTCCAAGACACTCGTTAATAATTTACTTGCCACCTGTCTTCATATACCTGCTAACAAAACTTCCATGTCAGAATTAGTTTTGCTTAGACAAAGCAGAGCTACCCAGTAGCACAGCAACCTTTTGAGAGTACTCAAATTTACTTTGGCATCTGTTAAAAGTATATTGTTGGTATTAAGTGCCTCTCTTTTCTGTCTTGAAGACACCAGAGCCAAAAAAGAATTTTTGCTCAAAGTGCCATGAGAACTTTAAGAAGGGACTCAAGGAAAATTACCACTGATTAATTAGTGTTGTCAAAGTCTCATTGTTCTTGAAAACAAAAGTGGACGTAAGTACTCTGTAGTCATAAAACTGCAGAATCAGGTTTACATGAACAATTAATGTGATGCTGTGAAATTCCAAATCCATTCTGTATTTGGTTCCTTCCACCCAGGTCCTTTGCTCTTTAGAACAAATCAGGTTATCTGTTGAAAAATTTCACTGGGATGGCTTGGATTGTTAACAAACTGGTGAATTCATGTCAGTCTATACAGTGCAAGAACAATTTTCAAGGTGCAAAACAATATAGTAGGTCTCGTAAAACTGGACTTGTGAACAGTTGCCTAGGCATGGACTGAGTTGTGAGAGTATTGCTGCTGTGTCAGGTTTTGACAATGACCACAGTAACTTGTGTTCTTTTCAGCTGCACATCACCTGCCTGATTAATTTCTCTCCATTTGTGATGTGTTTCTCTGTTGTGTGAATCCATCTCTGTTCATTCTGTCACATCTTCATCTCTCTCTTGCTGCTGCTGCTTCAGGTTTCTCAGAGCCTCAGGTAAGCAATCACAGGAGCTTGTGCCTTATGATGTTCAGAAAGTCCTTCCTGCAGGAGGTCTTTTCACTGATTTTAAAATAATACAGTGATTTTTAATTAATCCTGCTTCTCCCCTTTGCCCCCCCATCCTACATATCCTTGTGCTTTCATAATGTTTACAACATGTTTCTTTACAGGATTCCAGAATACTAAGAAATTTTGACTTTATTCCTAGTGAACTAAACCAATAGTAGACCAAGGCTAGAGCTTTATCTCTTCACATATGTCTCCATGGTTAAGGTTTTAGTTTGTGAGAATAAAAGAATAAAATCCTCAGCTATTCTCTGTTCAATATTGCATGTGATCAACCAGTAGTTTGTTATGTTTTTCCAGGTGCTAGATATTTGTTTTGTTTCTGGTTAGTGAGTGTCTGCATTCAGATTTCTGCCTTCTGCATCAGAGCATCATGGCAGCTTAAATCTTCCTATTCAAGCAAATTGCTTTTTTTCCCCCCTCCAACATTCATAAAAATATGAGCAAAAGCTGCAAGTGGATGTTGTATCAATAATTTCTTAAATCAAACTTAAGGAGTATTGGTTCAAAATTTCTTGTTTTCAAATTTTGATTAAAGCACTCTTGTTCAACAGACCATCTCAACAGGGTCTCAGGACCTGTCTAGTATTTATAGACCACATTTGACAAGCTCTTCTTTGTCATCTTTTAGATGCTGATCTGTTTAAATTACTTCATTAAAGCTATCAGCATCTAAAAGTGTGTAACACTTGTTTGTGCTCTGTGAAATCCCTGTGAGTGAACCTTTTAAAGCCAGCTGGTAAACAGCCAGCATTGTTATATTCTTAGTTTTACAAACTGCTGAGTTTGGTTATGAAAATTGCAGGAAGAAAGGGGGAAATGAAATGGAAATTAGGAGAACCATTTGCTTTTTAGTCACTTTCCATGTCTGTAAGTATGTTATTTTGGCAGTTTAGACTGCTAGGAAAAAAAGAACTACTCCTGAGTCTAAGCTATCCTTTAGGAAAAAAAAATTATCAGTTTTTTTAACATTTCAGAAAGTTTCAGAAGCATTCTTTAGTGGTTTAACATGTGTCCTGCTGGGTGATTTAATACAAGATACACTCAATATAACTTCTCCCATTACAATGATTCTTCCAAACCAGGTACAGGAGGATTTTCCTCTGGAAGCTAGTCAGTCCTTTCAAAACTCAGCTGCCTGTTGTTATTTCAGTACTAAATTGCCTGACACTTGCTAAAGCGATTGAAATTCGGCCAGTGAAATTTTGTTGATTTATGCCAGAATAATATATTTCTGATAATAAATAAATAATATAGATATTCATTATAACTGCAAAATAGTGCTTTTCCTAGTTTCTAGCAAGCCTCCATTTATGCTTTCATCCCCAAGATTCAACAGCAGAACCTTAAGTGACAAATTCTAGGATTTGTGTGGCCATGGTGTGATTTGCTCCTGCAATATTTATTTTATATTTACTGCAACCTTATTAGGAAAGGTGAAACTAAAACTTGACTTGTTTGTGCAGTAGCAGTGCCAGATGTGCTCTTCTCCTTCTGCAGTTAGATGCTTTCTGAAGGAGAGCATTACAGAGGGGTATAATGTTCTTAGTAAGTTTATATTGTGTTTCTTCCTGCCCCTCTAGTGTTTGGACTGAGCAGGGCTGTTCAGTATTTATGAGCTTGCCTTTAGTAGCTCAAGGGGTGAGACTTAGACAGAGAGAGAGACTCTGGTGCCAGCTTTCCATGGAGAGATTGCTCGTTCTGTGTGACTCCTTGGCAAGCATGCAAAGCAACTTTTTAAAGCACAGAATGATGTTTGGGGAGTTTTCCCAACGCATTTTTGCTTTTAAGGTGATTGATATTGATTTTTTTTTCCTCCTTTTTGCCAACCTTTCAGGAGGCCCCCGTGGTGGCGCGGGCAGCCCTGTTCCTCGAGTGCGCGCGCTTTGTTCACCGCTGCAATCGCGGCAACTGGCCCGAGTGGATGAAGGGCCACCATGTGAACATCACCAAGAAGGGGCTGTCCCGTGGCCGCTCTCCCATCGTGGGCAACAAAAGGAACCAGAAGCTGCAGTGGAATGCAGCCAAGCTCTTCTACCAGTGGGGAGATGTGAGTGTTTGTTTCTCTTCCACTGACATTAAAAATAAGGTGGAATGTAGAGGTAATTGGGTCCTATGCAGAATTTCAGTCCTTGTAAGGTGGAGACTTCCTTCCACCTTGTACTTCACAGCCTGCCAGGATCACCCTTTCTCCTAAGGGAAGTGACTTTGCTGGGACATGTTCTCTCCAGGGATCTGTTTGGCCCATTCTCCTTCTTCCAGCACTGGTCCTATGTGAATGGCTAAGGAAGAGGGAAAATTCGGGGTGTGGTACTACTTTCTGTTTTTCTTGCTTCCAAATATATTTAGCCTAGGGCTCCTTGAGCTAGGTGTGGTGCTGTATATTTAGTAATGGGTTTCTTTTTGCTGTACTTAATTCAGTTTCTCTTTGCACCCATGCAGACTGTAAGCACTTACAATTTTTTGGCAAGGAATTCTACAGAGCTATGATGAGTCGTGTAAAGAATTGTCTCTTCTTGTTTGGCACTTGAATCCTTCAAGTTTTAATTGGTTGTGATCTCTTAAAATATTGGACCAAGGCAATTGCCTTCTCTGGCCCTGTGAATGCCACTTGCAATTTCCTTGTAAAGCCCCCAGGATATAACTGCTGAACATCTGACATGTGTACAGGTCATTTCTCACAACTCAAAATAGTGGGAGAAGTTCCTTTGGCCGGTTACAGATGTCTTTTTGGAAGTGAGCTTTGTGCTTCTTACCTCTTCTAAAAATCAGTGATTTTTACAATGAGCATTATGATTCCCGTCCTCCCTGCCCTCCTCACCCACATAAAAAAAAGACATAAAATCCAGTGCTTATGGGAATTTAAAAATCATGTTCTGCCTTGCTGACCTGAATTCTTGTAGGTTAAACCAACATGTCCTTCTCAGTGGAGCACATTGTAGGGAACGTCAAAATAAAGCTGACCATATCAGTAAAGATACTCAAAGAGGCCAAATGGCCAGTGCTGATGAAAATTCTGTAATTTAAAACATCTCTTCCCTCACAAAGTGGTGATAACACAGGATAAAATTTCCCATACTTTTCTGTATGTGCAGCAAAGAAAATCAAGACAGTTCTTAAGAGTGTCTTGGTCTGAAAGAAAGGTGTCTGCTAAGAAAGGCAGGAGCCTCTCTTTAAATGGAAAATATAAACCCCCTCCTGCCAAATTATTTTAATTTTGAAATTAAGGAGCTCTCAGGCAAATATATGGGAATATGAATAACAGTTCTTTAGTAGGAAAATTAAAATAGAAATACAGTAATACAGAGAACAAACCCAAAACACTGACAGAGTCAGAATCCAACCTGGCACTCCATCAGTCAGTCAGGGTGTTGGTGCAGTCCCATTAAATGGTGGCTGCATCCTCCTGCAGTGACAGATGTGGTTCTGTTGGAGCAGTGCTCCTGTAGAAGGTGCAGTTTTCCTCCAGAGGTTCAGTGATGATGTAGAAGGGTCTGGTTTTCCTCTGGAATCCAGTGGGAAAAGGCTGCTCTGATGTTCCAAATTTCAGTTTTTATCTAGGTAGGAAAGGCTTGGTTCCTCCCCCTGGGTGGAGCATCTCCCAATGGGATGATGGAATTTTATCAGTCATGCACTGGGACCTGATGGGATGATGGAATTTTATCAGTCATGCAGTGGGACCCGATGGGATGATGGAATTTTATCAGCCATGCAGTGGGGCTCATGGCCCATTAACAGGAGATATCTCCCTGGAGGAAGGATGGGTTGTGGAAAAGATAAAGAACACTGCCCCAGCTGGTTTTAACAGATGGTGATAGAATACAAACTTTTGGCCACATCCCATATTGCAACCCAAGACAAGGAGCTCTCAAGTGTCTTGGCAGGAAAGCAATCTCCTTGCCATCACACCCTGAGCTGTAGTTTGCTGACAGCACCGTGGGGGCTGTTGACACGCTGACAGTGATGCTGGCAAACAGCCACCAGAAACAATCAGTGCCTTTCTGGAGAATGTAAGATGGAAATCTGACTGCCTCTGCTCTTTCCACAGACCCTCTGTGCATCATTACTCTTGCACCTTCCCATATTCTCACCTCACTTTTGGAAATTGCATCAGGGAGTTTCTCCTTTAAAGGTGGAAGCAGGCTTTCCCATGGACATTTAACTGTCTTGTGGAGGAATTAAGGACTGTTTCTGGGTTCCTAATTCACAGCATAGTTTCTTAAGCAGAAGAACTACATTCTCAGTGGAAAGACTTAGCAAAAATCTGGAATAAATTTATCAAAGGAACAAAGAAAAGTGGAAGAGATTAATACTTTATAATGACCTAATCTCCTCTGCCTGCTATGTGCCAGTTTGGAGGGGTTTATTGTTTAACTAAATTTATGAAAATTTCCATCCTGAAATTCGACACTTTGCAAATTTTTGTTGAAAAAAAGGGGGAAATAAATTATAGTTTTAATAGCAATTAGTCTTATGTCATCCCTTTTCCCTCTTATGACAATAAAAATAAAATCAGGGCATTCTGGCTGGGCTGAAATTCTCACCTCCTGTGCTTCTCTTTCTCCATCTGCAGGCAATTGGTGTCCGCCTCAATGAGCTGTGCCATGCTGAGAGTGAGAGTCCTGCCAACCTGCTTGGCCTCATTTATGATGAGGAGACCAAGAGGCGCCTGAGAAAGGAGGATGAGGAAGAAGACTTTTTAGATGACAGTAAGGAGACTCCCTTTACTACAAGAACCCCCGCTTGTAAGAACCTCTGCTTTAGGAGCACTTAATATTTTTTCTCTTTTCATTTTCTTGCCACCCAGCTGTATTTCCCAGTCCCTCACTTTCACCCCAGCTTCCTCCCCTGTTATTTTTGTGCCTGGACGTAAAACATGACAGATGTGTAGCAGTACTGAAAGACTTGGATGGAAAAGGGAAGTGGAAACCAGGCAGTGAGCTGCAATTCCTGTACACAGAAACTGCAGTTGTAAGCAGGGTCATAATTTATTTCTTGAGCCTTGCTGTCATCTGAGTGTCAAAAGTGGTTCAGGCTCCATTACTCACAGTTATTTCTGCCAAAATAATTGTGTAAATCATCCACTTTTCCCTTTCAGAACATTGAAGGGTTAGCTCACCTGATGTGAATTGGCACAGCTCTGCTAAAAGCTTTTAAATCTTGACTTCAGTAAAGAAGTCAAGATTTTTAGGCAGAAATAATAAATAAAAAAGCATAATTAAAAATCTGTATAACGGCAAGATGATGTAACCACACACATTTGTGCCATAAGGGTGGAAGAGCTGTGACAGATCACTGATTCTGAAAGTCTGTATAAGCATGCAAGTTATATCAAACCCTGTGAACCAAAATAAATTGTCAAAACACAACCTGTTGTAGCTGTAGGTGAAGGTGGTAGCAAACATTGTGTGCTCTTTAGACACCATTTTTGTATACATGTGTGCTGCAGTTTACTGGTGCTTGTCGGTGTGTAATGTTGTTGGTTGTAGTGTGCTGGCACTGTTTATCTCCTGCTTTCTCTTCCTGTGGTTCTGGATTTGTTCTTATCACTGCAGAAAGGCCCTTTTTGGAGTAGGGAGAATCTGGCAGGAAGAGTGACATGGCATTTATCAGAAATGAGCTCAGGAGAAGGTCTTGGCCCTAAGCTAGTCCTTCCCATGTGCCACTGTGTGGTGTGCCAGAGCTGGCAGGTACAGGGACATGGGTGGCTGTTCTGGGTATATTATCTATATATAAGAGATATTATCTATATCTAAGGGATATATAATCTATATATAAGGGATATATTATCTATATATAAGGGCTATATCTGTATCCCTTTAGAGGATACAGCCAAAGCAGGAGGAGGCTGTACACCAAAGATTCCTCCTCCTGCATCACAAAATGAACAACTGCATTCCAGTGATGGGGTGGCAGGATGGGCTTTCTTTTCCCTGCTCAGCCACTCATACCAGGCACTCAAGGGGATATGGAGATGCTTTAAAAGGGTACCCTGAGACAAGCAAAGAAAGATCAGTTTCTGGTCTAGAAAGACATTCAAAAGCTCAAGTGCTCTCCTGAGAATAGCTGATCAGTAGTCCTGCTGTAGGCAGGGAGTTTTCAAAAGCTGCTTTATATGCTGTATGAGAAGTAGAGTGAAGAGCATTAAATATGCAGTTGGGTATTCCATTACACTGCATGTCTCATTTGCTTTTGATAGTTCAGATTGTTTTAATCTTCACCAAGTCCACAATTCATTACTGGTGATGTATACAGGGGATCTGGCAAGCATCACAGATTTGGTTCTATCTGATCCCTGCAGTGTCTTCTCACCTGTTTGGTTCAGTCTTTTTCTTTGCAAAAGCAATTAGATCACACACCTAGTGAGAAAAATCAAGTAAAAACACTAATCTCTCTGAAGTGTATGCAAATGGTAATATCAGGAATAACTAAAAATGGGTGTGGCTAGTGGTTAGTTGTTGTCACAATGAACTATTTAATTTACTTTTTTGCTGTCTGTTATCCTAAAAAGTACTTTTCAAATTGATCAAACACCGAAGAATCCTTTATACTTTTAAGCTTTAAATTTTATCAGATGGGTTACAAAAGGTATGGTTTTAAATCTGATTGTTTCAATACAAAACTTGAAGTATCAATTGATACAAAACTTGAAGAATTTTGATAATCTCTCTTCCCTTTCCCTCTTAGTTTAGGTTAAGAATTTGAATGAAAAATTTGATTAATTAGTTTGATTTTTTCCCCTTGATCATCTCTATATGGCACATGGATTGCTTGCACAATTATAGAAACCTGACTTCAAAGGAGGCTATCTTTTTCAGTTGTCAGGGTAGTCATCAATAATAATAGGAAAAACATCTCTTTTAACAGCTGGTCATAACTCCATTATTTTGAGATAATTTTCTGTATTTGAAAGTAGTTCTTTTCCACAAACAACTTGAATGCAAAAATGAAAAGGAAAAGAAGGATATCTATTTCTTAACCTGCAACAGCCTTAAATGACATGTATACAAAATGTTGTAAGGTTGTTAGTTTAGAACTTTCACATAATATACTATAATATATACTATAGTCAACTATCATGTTACTTCAATGTAATGCAGTCTAATATAATAAAGAATAGAATAGAATAGAATAGAATAGAATAGAATAGAATAGAATAGAATAGAATGTATATCAAACAATATAATACACCATAATATCTAATTAATATAATATAGTCAATGTAATATACATGTTAGTATTATTTCATGTGCTGGTTTGTTATTTGATTGATTCTGTTTCTTTTAGTGTAGGAAAAGTAGCACAGAAGTGTGGGGTTTCCTGTTTTTCAGTGCAGCTTGCATCGTGCACCATATGTGACAATGTCCATCACCTCTTGGCTCCAGGTCTTGCATTAACTCCTTGTTTATGATAGAAATATTTTTTTCTAGGCACTGTGAATCCTACCAAATGTTGTTGTCCTTTTGCACTAAAAATGGCAGCCTGTCAGCTTCTCTTGGAGATAACCACATTCCTTCGGGAGACCTTTCCCTACATGCCCAGACCACGGACTGAGCCTCTTGTGGTGAGTGGAACACACACATGGGAGAGGGCTTTGCCCACAGAATCACAAATTCCAGGCTCTGATGAGAGGCAGGGAGGGGTAAAATCTCCAGTGGATCTCTGCAGGGAGAAATGACCAGTTTTGTGTGATGAACAGAAGATGGTCAGGGTACATGAAATGGGTTGATTAGGAAGGTGAGAGCATGGAAGCACAACGTGTGCTACTGGAAGTTAAGGAAAGGTTCCAAAGAGAGAAGAGGGAATGAAAAACTGAGTGTGAGAGACCTGGGAAGTGTGGGAGGTAGAATATGGGAAGCTCAAGTACTCACTAGATGATTAGGTCTGTTAGGGGAAGGGAACAGAATGGTTTGCAGAGAATTTCCCAGAGCTTTAAAGCTGCAGATTGGTTTGGGTTAGACCCAGAGAACTGCAGGGAAAAGGGAAAGAAAGGAAAGAGATGGGAAAAAGAAGCAAAGAAAGAAAAAGAAAACAACTCCAAGAGTCTCAGAGAGGCACAGGCAAATACTGGCATAAACAGTAAGCTAAACAACTGGTTAGGTGACAACTAATGCTGTGAATAGCAGAACACATGAAAACTGATTTTCAGTGATTCATTCTTGTGTGGATTTTCTTATGTGTAATACTGTTGTTTCAAAAAATACCCACGCACACAGTCATCTGTTGATGAGTTGACAGTGACCCTCATCTTCAGAAGTGGGTAGCATGAAATGAGATGAGGATTAAATGGCTGACATGCTTTCAGCTTTTAAGCCAAATTTCTTTAAGAAATCAGGAGAAAAGTTATAAAGAAAAAATGAGAAGTTAAATTTACATGAAGGATTTAGCCTTACTATCCTGGGTTTTGTTAATGGCAGATCAAATTTTAGTCATGGCAATTATGCTTGACAGGCTGATTTATCTGGAAAGCATTGTAATTAGGTTCTGAAAATTATTTCAAAGGCTGTAGATGACCTCTGATGAAGTGGCTCATTCCCAAGGTATGCAAGAGGGACGATTTAAAAAATCACATACATTCAGCAAAATCCTCTTTAAATGCATTGATGATATTACAACATAATAAATGACTGCATCCACAAGCAGGATAATACCATGGTTTAGAATTCATGTCATTAAGTAGTTAGGCTTGGAACTAAGAATGGAACTAATGAAGGTCAACAGAAGTTAGTGTTTTATGTGAGCTAGAAGTGCAAATGATTAATCACTTTCTAGACTTGTATATGGGAGACAAGGAGGAGGAATTATTCTGTGAGCTATAGGTGAAAGAAACCTTAAGACACATTATGCAAGAGTCTGTAAGATAAAATGGCAATAGAGCTGCTTCTAACTTTGTACAGAGGGAAAAACAGAGGCAACAATAATCCAGATTAAAATATTAAGTCTGTATTTTTGGAGTGATGCTTCCTTTCCCTGAAGATCAGGTACATAACGTTATGATCCATATAGCTGGAATTTCAGTAGAGCAGATCTCACTTCCATTGGTGTTTGTAGGCATACCTGTTCCATAGGTAGGAGCAGAGCCTTGGAAGCTTTGAAGAAGTGAAACATTTAGTTTTGGTGAACTAGTTTAACTCCCAAGAGAGGGTGCGGGCTGTGGGCTGGGGTTGATGGTCGTGACTGAAGTTTCACCCAAAGCACTGATCATGGAGCAGACACAAGCTCATCTTGCTCACAGCTGGAGACATTCCAAACCCACCTGGATGTACTCTTGTGTCACCTGCTCTGAGTGACCCTGACTTGGCAGGAGGGTTGGACTAGATGATCTCCAGAAGTCCCATTCTAATAATTCTGTGATTCTGTGATTTACGTTTCCCCTGCTGAGCCTGCAGCCAGTGTTAATGCACTGGGGAATGATAACCAGCAAGGAGTGTTAGCACCTGGGGACTCTTCCATCCTGGCAGGCGGCTCAGCCTGCTGCAAGGCTTATGTGTGATTAAAATAAACCCCCCTGAAGCTTCTCTAGCTGCAGTGGGAGCTCATACTGCTGGCACATCTGTGTGGTCTGCATTCTGCTGCAGGATCAGGAGAGCTACAGGATGCGTCTGGACCCTGAGATGGACCGACACAGGTATGAGAGAAAGATCAGCTTTGCCGGGGTTCTGGATGAAAATGAAGATTCAAAGGATTCCTTACACAGCAGCAGCCACACCCTCAAATCTGAGGCTGGCTTCGAGGAGAAAAAAGGTTTGTCAGAACCATAAGGCTTTTGTATTCTCAGGGCTTGTGAAGTGGCGCTTGGTTTTTGTGTTTTCATTTGCATAGACTGTGTTTAAAAGCAGGCAGCCATGAAGTCACGTGGCTTTGAATCATTTCTGGGACGCTTTTGGCCTTCAGGGTTCAATACAATGAATGTGAGAAGCAAAGATGTTAAATTTTATAAAACAGTGCTATGACTGAAACCGATCGAAAGCGTTGCACAATTGCTAAAAAGGAGTAAGCCTTGTTTGAAACTGTCTCTTAGTGGGATGCTGAGAGAAGCATCACTATTTGATTCACTGTAAAAATAAAGATCAAAAGTGGTGTTTGTTTTTCATTTTGGGGAAATCACAGATAGAAGGGAAGACTGCTATTTTCCTGTGGAAAATCTGTTTGGAAGTCATGGCATCACAACAAATTAGTGTGATTGGTCTCTTGAATTCTTTGCTACCACATGAAAAATACACTGTGTGGCTTTTGGTGGCTAGCAGATTGGTGTTACCAACATACTCTATACTTGTACAAGCAAACTTCAAGCTCACTGTTTTTGCTGAGAACAGCAAGCAGATCGTTTCCATTTCTGAGCCATCTCATGCAAGACTCACATTCTATCTGATGGTACAAGTGTTGCAATACAAAATAGTCATTGTGTGTATTTGCAATTAGAGACTAAACTGCCAGATACCTCTGGATGACCCTCTTACAAGTTTTCCTAGAACTATTTACATTCTGTCTCACAGTAGCAATTTGCAGGTCCAGGAGTTTGAATAATTTTGCTGATTGCTTGAAAGGGGTAAATGTTTAATGATTGTGTCACAACAGTGAGGTCTGTGGCTGGTTTTCCTCTCAGAAATGTCTATTAATGATTCAGAGGAGCTTTAGTTGACTTCTCTGAGCTTTGGATGAAGTTTGTGTTGTCTTCAGCTGTGACCTTGCCACAGTTACTGGAGAAAATATTAGAAGTGCTTCCACAATTCATGTGGTATAAAAGCTTCTCCAAAATTGTGTGTCTGGTGGGCCAGCTACTTCTGTGCAGACAGATGGGTACCCACCTAGGAAAGGTGAGCTGGATAAATTGATGCTCAGCCACATTTTGTCCACTCTCAGGATATTGGCAGCCCAGAAAAACACACAGCCTTATGGTCTGCCTGATAGCCTAAGATGTGTGGGATAAGATGTCTCTACCTATTTAGAATAGAAAAAGTTTGGGTTGGGGTATTTATTTGAGCGTAGTTATGACAATTGCTTGAAGCCACTTTTAAGCTTTTCAGGGAACAGTCCTGGGGATGTTACCTGAGTGAGAGAATACCTTCAAAGCAGGCAGTCCTGCTGGAAAATGCTGGTGGAAAGTCTCTAACTATCCTCTTTTTGGTAGAGACAATGCTGACTTAGCTTTTCCTTTGCATGTTACTGTGCCACAGGCGTAATGCTTTTTTGCAAAGATAGTATTGACTTTCTGCATCCTTTTCTCCATTAAACTACATTTTCTTGCAGTTTTATTTGAGTTTTCTTTCCATGATCCCTTTTCCCTAAGCTGTTACATAGTTTTCCTTTACTAAAGCTGCCTCTTTACTGCATTTTAGGCGTGGGGAAAGTGACTATGGTAGGAAGGTTGAATCCTAATAAACCTTAGCAAAAATGTAATTCCACTATTTTAGAAGCTTAATAAATGCAAGATAATGTTATATTTTAAGATCACAATAATTATGTTCTTTTCTTTGGCCACAGCACCTTCTTCTGGGAATCCAACTGGGCCAAACACTACAGATGCAGAGGCATCTTTCATAATCTACACTTTCCTAGATAAGAAAATGTCGTTGTGTGAATGTGACTAAATTTTGCTTGCCTGCAGTGAGAGGTTTCTTTATCTCAAACTCTTTGATGAGTACTAATCTGTTTCCCTTCGTTTTTCTGGAGTGTTAAAAACTTTGCTGTCATTGCTCCCCTAGGCATGGCTTAGCAGCTATCCAAAAGCCACGGGTTTACTGGGTAGAATCTGCTCCAGGTAGGTCTGAAATACAGACACTAGAGCTAGGCAGATGCAGGCTCTCAGATGATCACATGTACTCTTTGGGTGCCAAAATGGGATTCTGCAGACTTCATGAAATGCAGTTACAAGTGCTTAAGCAGTCTGGGATTCGTGGAGCTGATCTGAACATTATTCAAGCAGTAGCAATTGCTAAGGAACTTGGCGTGGTCACTTGGAGGGAGATTCTTTGGTCAGTCTACAGTGGTCTGCCAACTGTGAGGACTGAGGGGTAGCTCTCAAAACGTATCCAGCTGTCTTTGGCCAGGGTGCTAGCCACTGGAAATGGGAGTGGGAATTCCATTCTGTAGGAACTGGGGGCAATCTCAGGAGTAAAGGTGTGTTTTCTTTATCCCGAAGCCAAAATACAATTCTATTTAAATATTTTGCTTATCCATGGTACCCAAAAAGCTCTGTGCTGTTCATTCCCAACCATACACCAAAAGGTAATTGATCACACGTGGCCTTGCCTGGTTAGATCTGCAGTAAAATGACTGAGTGTTGCAACATTTGGACTGACATACTGCCATGTACTGCCTTTGAACTAAGAGGAGAATGAAAGTGCAAACAGTCGGTGCTTTAAACATTGAACCATTCCATGTGTGTGCTCATCAAAAATGCCAAGTGTCAATGGATGTTGTTAATGCCTGCAAGCTGCTGATTTGTCTGAAGGAGAAGATCTACGTGCTTCTGTTTCCTCTAAAGCATTCTAATGATGAAGAGTAACATGCAGAGACACGGATTTATGCAAATCCTACTTCAAAGAAGCCTTGTGTGCTAGCCCCATGAAGCAGACTCCCCTCTTGCAGTCACACATGCTGTATAAATAATTAATTTATCCTACTGCAGAGCTCAGTGAGGTTTACAGAACCCAGGCCCATGGGAAAATAGGTTTGTCCAAGGTGGCTTGTTCATGCTTGGGATTCAGCCAGCTATCTGTAGCAAGAGATGATGCTGCACTAATCTAAACTCTAAGGACTGGTCAAGAAAACTGCAATTTACACCCATTGGGCAGATCCTGCTTCCTGGCAGGAATTGTTTCAAATTGGTGTGAATTGCAGGATTTTCTTGTCCATGTTTTGGGTTTCAGTTAGCACAGACGACTCTACTTGCTGGTGGTGGAGCAAGGGCTGATTCCAAACACAGGCAAGGCCTGAGGTGATGCACCAGATCTCCAGGACACGAGGTGTTGAACCCACTTTTGTGAAGCATCTTTACTCTCTGATTGATCGAGCTGCATTGGCGTTGGCTTTGGAGGCAGTCTCTGATCCCACATTCCTTGGCAGAAGACCTGGCAGCAAAGGGTCGGGAGGGTGGGGAGGGCCAGCATCTCTTTCTTTTTTTAAACGGGGCAAAAATTAAGGGGAAAAAAGTCCTCTCTTATTCTTTTAATGCAGTTCCCAGCAGGAAGATCAGGATAGGAGGAGGCTCCCGCTTGCTCCAGATTAAAGGAACCCGCAGTTTCCGGGTGAAGAAGGGGGGTTCCCTTTCCAGCATTCGCCGGGCCGGCAGCCTAAAGAGCACCAAGTTATCACGGCAGGACTCAGAGTCTGAGAATGAGGAGCTGCAGCTGTCCCACAGCAGGGACACTGTCACTGATATAGGTAACTTAGATGAGCGGGTGGAAAGGGAGGGGACCACAGGAAGGACCTTAAACTCCTGATGTCATTGCAGCAGAGCTAGAAATGACAAGGGATCCCCACCTCTGCAGGCTAGGAAAGAAAAAAAAAATAAAAATCTAGATCTCTCTTCAGGGACTGCCTGGACTAGGGCCTGGGAGGAACATGGCACAGATCCTGGGTGCAGTGTCGGCTCCGTGCACAGATGGTCAGTTCAGCACGGTGTTGGAGCACGAGCTCTTGGAATGCTGGCCTGCCAGCTCAACACTAGCTGTCCTCAGGGCAGCATGTGCACCCCTAAATCAGCTCTAAGGAATGCATGAGTTCATATTTATATATGATACTTTATTGTCCACAGCAACAAATTGGCTATATATATATATATATATATACATACATATATATATATATATATATGCACACATATCTATTTAGGCATCTACTTCATATTCCATGTTGGATATGATGCCACAAGCATGACATGTAAAACGTCTGTTCCTATATGCAGAACACAACATTCATGTGCTGCATACTCTATTTCTACATGCTGGCACATACATCAGTTTTTGTGGCTTACAGCTGCTTTCCTTAGTATTTAAAAGATGGATGTCCACGCATTGATCTTATGGAAACAAGATGTGCATTCTAGTCGGTGAAATCTCCATCACAATTGAATTAAAGGGCTTCCCTTCACTATTGGTGTTAAGCAAAAGTTGTGGATACATTTGGAGCTGAAATAACCTCCCAAGTTTAATGGTCATTTTTATGTTGCCCGAAAGGTGCTTCAGTAGGAGAGCATGGAGAGTGGGTTTGTCAATTCTGTCGACTTTGACAAGTCACAGTTCACTTAAAAAAGAGAAAAGGGGTAAACCAAAATTCATCTCCAGCCAACTCTTAATATCATTAGTATTAGTTGTATAGGAGGCCCATAGGGTATGAAGTGGCTAGGGGAAACACAGGGGTCAGTGAAATTCTCAGGGAAATCTCTCCCTTGACTGAGTTCTAAAGTGTTCTTGTGTGCCAGAATCAGGATTTTTTTCCCCTTTCATCCCCATGACATTAGCAGTTTCTATGGGCAATTAGCAGGGACTTTGTTGGCATTTCCAGTTGGATGCCACTTCTGGTTGGATTTTTGTTGATATTTTTAACCACAGAGCCCAGTCAATGCAGATCACTAAACCAGCCATTTGCATCATCTGAATGGTGCAAAAAATTTGGTTATGATGGTTTTGGATTATCCATTTCCCTTCCATTAAAGAAAAAAAAATGGAGGGATATATTTTTGCTACTGACAGGATGGTCTAAGGGTCAAGTCCAAATAGTTCTTGTAAGTGTCAAGCCAGCACAGGACTGGGGAGGGATGTCCAAATGCACTCTTTCCAGTGTGGCATATTTCTGTGTCCTCTCATCTGTTCCCACAAGGCTGGCCTGGCTTACAAGTGCTGTCCCTAGTCTTAAAGCCCATGGGGAGCAATAAAAACAACAACCTTTTGGGTATTTTTCTTTTGAAGAAGGGAGCCCCTGGAGTGCAAGCGAACCCAGCATTGAACCTGAGGTACTGAGCAACACAGGCCTGGAGGAGAACTATCACCGGAACATGTCCTGGCTGCATGTAAGTACCAGTTGCCAGCAGTGCTCTCAAGGATGGGATTTTCAATAGGAAAAAATCTTTATCTGGCAATAACCAGATCCCAGTTTGTGCTTTTTCCATACAGCGTAAAGGATCTGGAGCGTAAGTAAGCTGCGACCTTTGGAAATTGCGTGTTTCCCATTTCTAAAATGGACTTAAGTCTCCTTCTCTCTAGTTCATATATTTAATTTTTTTCTCCCTAGGTGTGCAGGGACATCCATACTACCTCAGCTGAAAAACATATTAGCTCAGCACCTTATCTCCAATGGGCAATAGTGTGTATTTCAGGGGGAGCAACAGAATGGACTACACTGTGAGCTGGGCTTCTGGGAAGTGGCATTTTAGAAGCTGCTTGTGAAAGCCAACAGAGCCTTGTCCAACAGACAGGGAGCACAACGCTGCAGGTGTGGTTTGGTCATGCAGGGTCTAAAGCATCCCTTTGGGCAATCTCTGTGCCTGTGGTTTAGACTTGCCAGAAGTCAGCTGGGCAAGTCTGCACTTCTCTATCCCCTGGTGCCCAAGGACTGCAGTATGGTCAATGAGTCATGCACACACCTTGGGTGGACTCTCTGTGCAGTGGTTGATGGTGTCCTGTGTGTGTGAGTGAGCACAGACACCCCTCTTGACTTCTGAGTTGCCTTTGGGAAGGACAGGTGTCAGTACAGACTTGGTATCTTCATTTTTCCCCCAGATATTTCACACAGACTGCTCTCAGCTGCCCCATACCTATGGGGTGTGGGCAAGAACAGGCTTAATATTTTATGTCAGAAGCAGTTATTGATAGTCATCTTTTTTAGATGAGGCTGGCAGGGCAGGGAACTTGAATGCCATGTCTTCCAATCTAGGACCTCAATCCCTGTTTTCTCTCTGATGCTTTGGAATGATTACACCTCATTTGAAAATTCCAGTGTACTAAACTGAGTATGTTAGACATATGTGTATGTATTAGATGCTACATCACTAGAGGATAAGGGAATTTCCCTGGTTAGGAGCTTAAGATAAATCATGGTGCCCTTGCTCAGTGTGGTAGGATGCATAAACTCATGAATTCTGAAGGAAACTTGAGATGTTTATCTCACTTTACATGTGATTAGCTTGCAGAGGAGAAAGAAAAATCTGCAAAATCACGTGGTACATTTAATGGTACACAAGTACCAATATTACATGGCAATGCTATTTTTTTCATTTGTTAGAAAGAAGGTGTGGGTAGATGGTCACTAAAACTACAGACAAAACAAAAACCTGCTTTACTTACTCGTCACAAGCAAACAACTCAAAAGAATCACCGGTTCCAATTTGTTTTTTTTCAGATTTGTTTTAGATTAAGCTCCTGTCATTTTTAGAAGCTAAACATTTTAAGGTTGAGTAAGATGTGGCAGCCTGGAGAGAGAGGCAGCAGACTGCAGCTGCACAGACCTAGACACAGTAGATGGGAAATTGGGATAGCTTCCTTTTGGTAGTTGTGGGTACTTCTGCACTGGATTGTGGGGGGAAAAGAAAGATTCATAAAGGCCTCTAAAGACCTACAGTGTTTGTGTTTAATGTGAGGACCAAAGAGCTTCTGGGCTGAGCTTTGCTCCTCTGGCAAGAAACCATCTGAGCTACACCAGAGAGTGGTCATTCAAGTGTAGACTTGCCAAGGCTATCTTTAATTAAGTAGGATAGGGACTAATACCAGTGTTTCTGCAGCAAAGCAGGGCTCAGAATAGCTAAATTCAAAATATTTACCTTATTTTTAGGTAAGTGTTACTACTCCTTGCTGCCATATGGCAACACTAGCATGTTGGAACCCAGAAGCCTGGGAGTTTTGAACTTTCTATTCTTTCTGGCACTGACCCCCTGGAGATCATTGCTTTTGACTTGAGCCTTGGAGAAGGCTTCCAAATTTGAGTGATAGAGTTGGAATCATGGCTGTGTATTTGGAATAGAAGTGTGTAATTTCATATGGTGAAAGGTTTGGAATGTGGGGCTTTAGAATGTAGTAATGGGTATGAGACAAGATGGAGGATTTTGGGTGGTGTCTCCTTTCTCTATTCTTCTCCCTTCTTCATGGTTTCAGGCAGTAGTTTCTGGTTGGATAGTGCTGCACTGAGGTCACTGGTTATTGGGTCAAAAGGATAAATAATACGGGTGTTAGTTCTTTATCGGACTGTTTAGTTTTAGAAGTCCTTGTAGCTAGCTGGATTCAGCTCCATTTTGCTCACTTCTACCTGGTAGCTAGAAGTGTTGCAGAACTCTCTGTACTTTAGATAAGATTTAATAAACAACCAAATCAAAATGAGAAATTCATCTCCTTCATGTTTTTAATCCTGACTCTGAGTGAAGACAGAAGAAAATGGAGAAAAGCCACTAATTAGGTGGTGCAGTTACCCCATTTGCACTAGTAGAAATAACAGCTGAAGCAGCTACCACAGAGCTGGACTGGATGGGTCTGCCCAATGACAGTGAGGGAAGCATATACAGAGCAATTGACACAGATTATTTCTTCTTAAGAGCACACTGAGATACTCCCTTTGCACCCCTTGAACCCCCAAACACGGTGTGTTTGCAGCTTTAGTAACAACTGGTTTGTTGATGGTTTCCAGCCCAAGCTCTCATTTTAGAGGGAGAAAACTGAGAGGATGCTCTTTTCCTCAGCCTTCACCTTGCCACCAGCCCAATATACACATTTACAGCAGCTCTTTTTCTTTGCTTTGTTAGCACTCATGGTTCTTTAGCCATGCCCAGCTAGTTTGAAGACCTCTTGTAAGTGTGAAGACCTACACAGACATACATTCCTTTTTAAAGCTGAGCTTCACACCTCCCTAGCTAGGCTGTTTGCTTGCCTGTCCCAATCACTGCCTGTGCAGCTCCATTTCTTATGGGTAACTGTTTGTTTTTTAATTCCCAGGTTATGATCCTGCTGTGCAACCAGCAGAGTTTCATATGCACACACATCGACTACTGCCACCCGCACTGCTACCTCCATCACAGCCGGTCCTGTGCTCGCCTCGTCCGGGCCATCAAACTGCTCTATGGAGACACTGTGGACTCCCTCAGGGAAAACAGCACTCTGAACAACGTGGCAAGAGGCAAGAAACAAAAGGAAGTGAGTATGGGAATGGAAAAAGCAGAACGTTTTGGGATTTGTACACACACGTCGTAATCGCCTTTGAAAAGTGCGTAATGTACTCATGCAGTTCAAAATTAATGCAGATTTTCCAAATTTTAGCTTTGCTGTAAAAAAAAAACCCAGCAATTAAGTCATTCAGCATTATGTAAGGAATGTAATCTGTATTGATTGGGATGAATTTTAGTTGCTGATAAGATCTTTTTAAAAGCTTAGAACCTGGCTTTAATTTTAGTGTTCTTTGCTGGCCTCTACTTACTACCCTGTGGATTCTGTCTCTCTTTGCTCATGTTTTTTTCTTGTCTGTTAGTAAGAGTAACTCTGGAAATTCTTGTAAAATCTTCTTATTTCTTTTAGGTCTGAGCTCTCAGCTGTTCCAAGAAGTGTGTATATATATATATATATATATATATATATATATATATATATATATATACACACACACACACACACACATTATATACATAAATAATGTATTATATACATGTATAATGTTTACAATGTATACAATACATGTATTGTATACATTAGTCTTTAATGTTTGTCTCCTTTTAATGACCATTTCAGCAGGATATTCAGACAAATTTGTGCCTTTTTTTATTTGTAAAAGTGTACTTTTAACTTCAGTGGAGATACATTTCTGCTTTCAGGAAAGTGCCCACCCAGGCACCAACTGAATCGTGTCAACAGTTAAACCACAGCAGACAGTTATCCTGAATAACTGTAATGGCAGAGCCATTCAACTACATTGCAGTAGCATTGAAAACAAAAGTGTTCATGAAACTGTCATGAAGGTTTCGGTTGGGTAAAGAGGTTGTCATCCCTGGCAGTGGCATATGAAGGAGAAGAATTCAATATATTTCTTCATCAACAAAGAGTTGGTTTGTTTCCTGTCAAGTTAGAAAATTAAAGGATATTTTCAAGGAAGAAAGCACAGAGCAGGTGAAACAGAAGCTTTACTGAAAACTGTAAACCCCACATTTTTCCTCTAGCACAGAAAAGTATTTAGGAAGAGAGACAGTCATTTCCTCTGCAGAAGGCAGGCAGGAGATGAGTAGCTGGTGTGTTTCATGAAAGGCAGCAAAAGAACATTTTCTGTGTCTTGTTTCCTCTCCAAGTTTGAATTTCAAGACAGAGATATGCATTTCATCATACATCAAACCATCAAAGCATTTATGAAACAGCAGGAGAAAGGAATTTGAGATGCAGTGAGGTCTCCCATGAACACGTGCAGGGTGTTTGCACAGACCTCACTTCCAGAGAGCAGTTGACAATCTTTGCTTTTTTTCATGGAAATGAAATGGAAATGGCCTCAAGTTGCACAAGGGGAGGTTTAGATTGACTGTTGGGAAAAAAATCCTCTCTGAAAGGTTTGTCCAGCTGTGGCACAGACTGCCCACTGAGGCAGTGGAGTCACTGTCCCTGAAGGGCTTTAATAAATGTAAGGATTCTGGGGACATGATGTAGCACATTGAGGACATTATTTAGAGGTGGGTTTAGCATTAGACTACTGGTTTGACTTGATGATCTTAGAGGTCTTTTCCCACATCTATGATTCTGTGAGAGGAATCATTCCGTACACTGAATGCTTCCTTTGGTAATTTTTTAGAGGGAAGCTGCAGACTTTTTGCCTGTAACCTACTTAACTACATCCATAGGTGTGGCATCAGTGAAGGTTACACAGCAAATATTCACATTCTCCATTTGGTTTACTGTCTTCTGCCTTAAGATTTTATTGTTAAAAATAGAAGAAAATTCAATGAGATGTGTTGTCTCACTAATACTTGGCCTGTTGCCAGCAAAGAAGGTTTTTTTTGTTTCAGCTCTGCTACCAGATGGTTTCTAGTACATGGAAATTCCTCTTGTACATAATCTCCTTTTCCACATTTTGAGAAATATAAGTGTGAACTTCACTTTCTTTGTATTTCCTTCCAGTGCTCAGACAAGTCATGCTTGAGGACTCCTTCTCTGAAAAAGAGAGTGATCGATATCAACTTGGAAGGGAAGAAGGACTCTGGAATGCTAAAGTACATCAGGAATCAGGTACTGATTAAGCCATATGCTAGTTAGGGAGGCAGATATAGAGGTGCCAGGTTAAAAAACTGCAAAAAGAGGGAAAATATATGTGGATCTCCAAGCTCATGTTCCTGAATATTAATCAGTTCAGCCCTACATCTTTTCCCAATCTGAGTAATACTAAATTTAAACCTCTAAAGAAAACGTGGTCAAAGAATCCTTTAAACATTTAGCTCCATTAAATCCCAGTCTGCATCTCTGGCTTTCCACAGTGGCATAGGCACCAAAGCTGAGGATAGAAAAAACCAAAGAATTCACAGGTATGTTATAACTGCAGCCTGTCAGTTTACAGTATTAATTCTCTTTGTTCTTACTTGTTCAAGGCTCCTGAAGAAGCAACAGCCTCTTTATAAGCCTGTTCTTAGTGAGAGTCTAATGGACCCGTATTGCTGTTTGTGCTCCACTTTGGGAGAGTTTGGCTTTCCTTCTGTCCTCTTTTTGGTGTTTTGGTGGTGTGAGGGACAAGCAAAAGACTCAAGGAAGCAGCTTGGAAACACCACTGTTTTAGTGTAGGCTGAAAGCCACGTGCCCTCTATGGAGCATTTTCTGAAATGGATGAACCTAGAGCTTATTGGTGGGTAATTTGCAGACCAGAAGCAGGGTAAAATTACTGAGTGTTGCTCTTCCTTGAGGACAGTTTGCACAGCTCAGCCCTAAGGCGTGGCTTGGTTTGTTGCAGGTAATGAGCCTGTCCCCTGCCCCTTTGTCTCTGCTGATCAAGGCAGCTCCCATCCTCACAGAGGAGATGTATGGGGACATCCAGCCAGCAGCCTGGGAGCTCCTGCTCAGCGTGGATGAGCACATGGCTGGAGCAGCAGGTAGGTGAACCACACCCCTTAGCATGGCTGCTGTGGCTGCACAGCTCACAGTCCATCACAGGACTCTGCAGTTTTGTACTGGAGAGGTCTGAATGCCACCAAGAGTGTCTTGGGGGCTCTGTGGAAAGGAGGTGGTGAGAAGGGTCAGGAGGGCACTCTCTCTGAGGTCCTGGATGTGGTGGGTGTTTGGAGAATATCAGAATTGGTATTTGTATTCAGTTGGGTTTGTAGGCAGAGGAAGCAGTGATTCAGTCAGTCCAGAGTCTACTAAAGCATTCTGTATGCTGCCTCATGGAAATATTAGTGCCAGCTGAATACCATACAAAAACTGACACAGGGAACGAGAGTCAAACTGTCATAGCTCCTGTTATGCTGTAAGGAAAATTCTCATGTTGCATGGAGACAGCAGCATTGCTCATTAAATACTATTATTGTATGGTACTATCTCAATTTTCCATTTCCACTTGGTTTTAAAGTGTACAGATGATTGCTGATGACACATGGTTGAAAGGCATCTTTAAGACAGAGGATTAGGACATCATATACCTGTGAAAGTAGTACTTTGAAATTCTGCACATGAGATAAAATTTATTACAATTTATTACGATTACAATAAAATATAAAGTCATACATGTTGTTGCAAAGTAGTAGTAAGAATTTTTCTGCTATGAGCTTGGATCTTCTCCTATGGAAATGACCTAGGTTCGGAATTTATCCCTTGGCCAAAAGATGACTGACCTAATGACCAGCTGGGAAAAAAGAAACAGAATGTGTCAGAAGAGATATTTTATTAGTGATTCAAAGTGTTAATGCTACTGTAAAGCATGATGTACAATTCCAGAGCTTCTGTTACAGGCAGAGATTCTGTTAAATCAGCCTTGATTAATCAACAGAAATCACTTGAAAGTGGAACTCTTGAAAGCCAAACACAATTAGTCCCTTTACTTCAAAAGATGTTCTTATTTTAAACAAGTCATGTCTGAGAAGATCAAAGGCATAATTTATTTTTAAAAGCAGGTTTTCCAGAAGAACTTAGAAGCTTCAGCTGTAATGCTGTGTGGCTCCAAAAGGTGGAATCACGTGTGCTTGGTTTCATGAAGCAATACACTTTTCCTTAGGCTTGGTAGATTGGTGATCCTATTTATGGAGCCAAGATGGGGTTTCTTTTGGTGTGAGTTTGTGCACTTTTCTTTGCCAAATAAACACATTATTGAGAAACATAGGTGATCAGATATTGTCTCCCTGCAGCTGCCATGTTCCTGCTGTGTGCTGTGAAAGTGCCAGAGGCTGTTTCTGACATGCTGATGTCCGAATTTCATCACCCAGAAACAGTGCAAAGACTGAATGCCATTCTGAAATTTCACACACTCTGGAGGTTCAGGTATCAAGTGTGGCCGAGGATGGAAGAAGGAGCACAGCAGATCTTCAAGGTAGATAAGTCACATGAAGCTTCATGATGACATTTACAGCTTGCCTTGTAAGATAGATGTGTAATGACAGACTGCAGTGACATTTCCTGAAACTGTATTTAGGAAAAAAAAAAAAAAAGATTGTATAAGTCTCACTAGTGGGGGAGGTGATAAGAAGAAGTCCTGTATAAAACAGAGAAAATAAAATGGGGACTTAGGTCAGGAGATATACCAGAGAAGATGTGTGTCACACATGGTGTCACAGTCCAGTGAGTTGCAGAGGTGGGTAAAATTGGCAGAGTTAATTTATGTCTTGGGTACTTAAGCTCATCTTTAATTAGCAATATTGACAATAATAGCTTGCTGTAACAAAATGTCTTTCATGGTTTTCTTTAGATTCCTCCTCCAAGTATAAACTTCACTCTGCCTTCTCCCGTGCTGGGAATGCCATCTGTGCCAATGTTTGACCCTCCCTGGGTCCCTCAGTGCAGTGGGAGTGTGCAGGATCCTATAAATGAAGATCAGTCGGTAAGCACACACCCTGAGAGCAAGCACTCTTCTTTCTCTGTAGGAGTGTGTGGTAAATTAAGCCAAAAGATGTGAATTAACCTCTGAGATTATCTTTTGTTGGAACCCTGAAGACAGGGAGTTTTGAACTTTCTGTGCTGTCAGGCAGTGACCCCCAAAAGAGCACTGCTTTTGACTCGATGCCTTGGAGAAGGCTTCCAAATTTGAGTGATAGAGTTAGAATCACTGGTGTGTAGCTTGAATAGAAGTGTGTAATATCACATGGTGAAGGGTTTGGAATTTGGGGTTTTGGAATATAGTAGTAGGTAGAGGGCAAGATGGAGGTTTTAGGGCAGAGATTTTCTTTCTTCTTGTCTCTCTTCTTCTTGAGTTTAGGTAGTAGTTTTTAATTAAATAGAAAATGCCATACTGCAGGTCATGGGTGTTTGGTCATTGGGTGAAAAGTAAAAATAATGTAATTGTTAGTTTTTAATTGGACAATTAGGCCTTAAAAGACCTTGTAATGAGCAAGATACATGGCCATTTCTTCATTTTTAGCTTGTTAGCTGGAAGTGCTGTAGCACTCACTGTACTATAGATAAGAATTAATAAACAACTGAGTCCGAACACAAAAATCCATTTCTTGTGCATTCAATCCTGACTCTGACTGAAGAGAAAAAAGGACATTAAAAAGTAATAGTCTTTCCCAGCTGGGAAAAAAAAAATCTAGTGTGGTCTGTGTAGGGCACAGAATTTTCTACGTGAGCATCAAGCTTTTTTGTTTGTTCACTGAAGTACTGTAGTGCATCTCATATCCCTGTGAGAGACACTAACTTAGATCCGAGGAGCACACAGCTGCTCTTTCTCCAAGAGAAGGTTTTTTCAGCTGCCTGAGAGATGATTTTGTCTGCACTGGTTCATGTGGTGTCTCCTGGGAGAAGTTTGCACCAAAGCTGATTGTGGGCTTATTGCCAAGAAGTCTCCCGGTGAATCTCTGTTCAGCTGGCACTAGTCTGGTTTATATTTAGAAACTGGCTTGCTGAACTTCACTGAGGTGAAGCCTTTGTCAGAAAATCTGTGTGCATCTTAACAGCTTCAGGCTGTGTTTCTGCTCTCTTCCTTCCCCACAGAAGTCGTTTTCTGCCCGGGCTGTGTCACGTTCCCATCAGCGAGCTGAGCACATCCTGAAGAACCTGCAGCAGGAGGAGGAGAAGAAGCGCCTGGGGCGGGAAGCAAGTCTGATCACTGCCATCCCCATCACTCAGGAGGCCTGCTACGAGCCCTCCTGTACACCAAGCTCTGAGCAGGAAGAAGAAGGTGTGCCCTGGGACCAGGACCTGAATTCCGGGGACCTGAGAGCGTTTCCCACAAACACAGAGCGCTGCTTAGGGCAGTGATGTCCAGGGAAATTGATTTTCAGTGTTAGGAAGGTCTCAACCATGCCCATTTGTTGAAGAGTCCAAGTCATTGAGAAAAAGTGTGTTTGAAAACTGGTGTAATAAAAGAGACAAACCCTTGGATATATTGAGCTCTTTCTGAGTGATAAAGGCACTGACCCCATCTGCTCCAACTTGCCAGCATTTAACATCTCAGAGCTTCTTGGAGGATTTAACACAAGAGAATATGCAACAGTAGGAATGAAATCTGTCCTCCCGAACTTAAACTTTTTAATCATTAAAGGGTGGGAGGAATTGCTCTTTGGCAGTTATGTATCTTAAGAAACAGAACTTAGGATATACTGAATTGCCCCTGGGGTTTTCCTACCTTTATGGTAAATAAAGGTGACCAGATCAAGCTCAGTACCAAACTTTCAGACAGCCAAAGTTATGTGACATGAGTCACAATAAGCTTAGACTGTAGGTGAGGAGTTTTGCTGGCCCAGGCTTACAGAGCACAAAGGCTTCATTAAAGGCATTCCAAGGTATGTGCCATCAGGTGAGCAGAGGGTTGGTGAGATCTAAGCACACACTGGAAAACCTGAGAGCAGAAATCCAAGTTCTTAAGAAAAACTAAGCACCAGCAACAGTGATGGTTGACAGGGAGTGGATGAAAAGAAGGATAGGGCCAGCTCTGTTGCAAATGTACCCTATGGACCAATGTTCTGCTGTTTCCCAAAGCATGGGCAAATTACCTATCTGACTGGTCTTTAAAATCGTTTTAAATTGTGTCTTCTGAGTGTTACCTGACTTGACTTCTCAGTATTCTGATTTGGTTGTAATTGCTGCCCTTCAAAAAACTCCCGAGTTTTTTTTTTTTCTTTTGTCAGCTGGATGTGGATTGACATTTTGTATTCTCTCTGTCAGTAGAAGAAGTTGCCAACCTGGCCTCCCGCCGTCTGTCTGTGAGCCCGTCCTGCACCTCCAGCACTTCCCACAGGAATTATTCTTTCCGCCGTGGCTCCGTGTGGTCAGTGCGCTCAGCAGTCAGTGCAGAAGGTGGGTGACTTCACTTTGGACGATTCCCTCCTAGGATTTCATTCACTGGAAGCCTTTCCTGCTGGCCCATAAAAGCATTTCCTTTTGCCAAATATATTCCCAAGCTTGAGCCACTTTTTATAAAGTTACTGCACTTATTTATTTTATTCACCCCTTCTGTCACAGTACTTTCTCTTGCCTCTCAGGTTCTGCTTGGAGATTAGTGCTACAGGGACCACTCTAGCTGAAAATAAAAGGATTTTATCAAAAGGAACTGGGTTGCCTACAAGAAAAGAAATGTAAATTGAAAAATTATATATTTACAGTGAAAATTCCTGATCAAGAAATTGGCTGGAGGCTCCATTCCTACTTGGAGATAGCAGTAAACCTGTCATGCTCACACAATTAACAGTGAACAGTGTTCTGATCTTTGTTCTGTGTGTAGAGCCACTAACATAAATGTTTATTGTTGGAACCTTGAAAATAGGGAGTTTTGAATTTTTTGTGCTGTCAGGCACTGACCCTTAAAAGAGTACAAACTGCTTTTGACCTGAGGCCTTGGAGAAGGCTTCCAAAATTAAATTATAGAGCTAGAATCACTGGTATGTAGTGTGAATAGAAGTGTGTAATTTCACATGGTGAAGGGTTTGGAATTGGAGGTTTTGGAATATAGTAATAGGTATGGGACAAGATGGAGGTTTTAGGGTGAAGGGTTTTTCTTTCTTCTTGTCCCTCTTCTTCTTGAGTTCAGGTGTGCTGTTTAATTGGATGGAAAATACTGCACTGCAGTTTGTCTTTGATCATAGGGTCAAAAGTAAAAATAATATGAGTGTTAGTTTTTAATTGGACTGCTTAAAAGACCTTTTTGGTCTTATAAAAGACCAATTTAAAATAAAGAATTCAAGGTTTAAAAGACCTTAGAATGAATGAGATACATCGCTATTTCTTCATTTTTAGCCTGTTGGCTAGAAGTGCTGTAGCACTCACTGTACTATAGATAAGAATTAATAAACAACTGAGTCTGAACAATGTTTTGTGCTTTCAATCCCGATTCTAACAAAAAAAAAAAAAAAAAATTTAGTACTTTATCTAACCTGCCTGGGTAGTAGTACAGGGTATTTCCTAACTCTGCTTTTTCTTGCTGCTCCAGATGAAGAACACACTACTGAGCACACCCCGAACCACCACGTTCCCCAGCCCCCCCAGGCTGTATTTCCAGCGTGCATTTGTGCAGCAGTGCTCCCCATTGTCCATCTGATGGAGGATGGAGAAGTCCGGGAGGATGGAGTAGCTGGTATTGACCTTGATTAAACTTCGAGGGATTTGTTGTTTAAGGATGGCAGAATCAGTTTCAGAACTATTTGAATGTAAAGTTACAATAGAAATGTATCTTTGTAGGGTCTTTTCTTTTTATTTTCTACATAATTTGTGTTTGGCTTTGAGAGGCTTTTGCCCTTTCAGGGCTCTAAAAATGTCCCTAATTCAAAACGAACTTGAGAAGCTTAAAAAAAATCTAGTGGGGAGGAATACAAGGATGGTAAGAGGTGTAACACAAGTGTTCTTTGAGCAGTAATTGTAGAAGCTGGGCTTGTTTGGTGTGATTCAAAGGAAACAAAGACTTAGAAGAACTGACTTAGAGTTTACAACTTGGGAAGTTCAGTTTAGAAATTGGGAAGGAAATTAATCACCAGGAGCATAATTTCTGTTGATTCTCCATGCACAAGGGTTATCAAGCCCTGGCTAGTCATAGCTGTGGTGAACATACCTCCTTTAGGTGACAGTCCTGCTCCAAGCAGGGCTTGGACCTAGGAACTCTGGAGATCTCTTCCCACTCATTTTTTTTGTTCCTGTGACATGCAGAAAGCCACCTATACACAGCCTGAACATTTTGGTTATGTCTGTGATGTCCTTGCAAATTAATAGTTCATTTCCTTGTATTTATGTTTTCGAAAGTGTTAATACATGGTGGACAGTTCTGCTTCCTTCAGTTCTCTCTCGTCACGTCAGCCAGTTGCACATTGAGTTTCCTATTACATTTTGTATTCAGTTTTATACATTTTGTATACAGTTTTAGCTGTATGTAGCCAGCCCTCTAAACAATGTATGAGTGGTTTTGTGATCAGGATCTGAGTACTGAAAACAAAATAATGAATAATTCTACGTTATTGTTAACCTTCAGAGGAATGCAGTTAATTGGACTTCAGGGAGTTGATCATCAACAATTTCCTGGTGACTATCTAATGCTGTTCACCAATACCAGATAAAATCACTCAGTGAATCACCATGAAATTGAACTTATGTGCCTGAACAAAAAAAACTGCATAAATTTATTTCTCAATTACAGTTGTTGGATTTTGCCCATCTGGAGTTATGAATCCAAATAGTTATTTCTCTATCATTCTTAAACAGTCATGAAGTGCTTCCTGCCATATCACCAGCAGTTAGAGGAGGTTCAAATATTAGACTTGTGATTGTTATTACTGGGATCACTGCATTGGTTACCAGGAATTCTAGGGCATCAGATGGGGTCTGGGGTGTTTCAGTATAAAACGTGATGGAATGAAGGAAGGAAGGAAATGTGTTTTAAGTGTACCAGTTCATGGCTTTTCCAAGAGATGTTCAGGTTCTGACCTGGTTCCTTCTCTCTGTCTCGCAGTAAGTGCTGTTGCTCAGCAGGTCCTGTGGAACTGCCTGATTGAAGACCCCTCTACAGTGCTGCGCCACTTCCTCGAGAAGCTCACCATCAGCAATCGACAGGTACCCTCTGCCCTGCAGGTGCCAGAGCTCCTTGGAGCAGGGCAGCTCAGCAGAGTCACTTCTGGGCATCACTGGAGAAGAACATTTGCTGTTATAATGCAGCATCTCATCATTTGGCTCCAATCTTTGTCCACTGATGCAAACAGGACACAGCTGGTTTGTCCCCACTTGCCCCAAGCCAAGTTTAGTGAACGTGGCATAGGCACTATTGCCTTCACTCCTGCCACTCTACTCAGATTCCCTGAAGGATGGGGTGGCATCTCTGTGGCTTATTAGACTGCTTCCAAGAGCGTGGCTAAGATTTATGGAAGAAAAACACACTGGTTGTGACCATATAGAAGGCAGGGAGACTCTCCGTATCACTGCATATTTGGTGTATGATACCAGTAGTATCACTGGCCTCAGCTTTCAAGCCACTGCCTAAGAGCTGACTCTAAAATGAATATTAAACCTGAAAAATGTCAGGAAAGGCTGTCCTTTTGTTCCTTGAGCAAGCAGATGTTGTTGGACTTACTATTCCTGAGACTTCTCAGCCATCATCCACAAAGCTTTTATTTAAAAATAAAAGTCTACATTTAAGGCAGGCAGCCTCCAAAAGAAGGGAAGTTAAATTCTGCCCATGCCTTCCACTCTGCAGCCTGGTGAGGCTCAAGCTCCTGTTGATGAACTGGATTTCACAGATCATCTGAGATAATCAACAGGGATAATCACAGGGACAGGAGTGCACAATCAGTGGTGTTACAGTCAGTACAAATTGCAGCAGGAAGTACTGGCTTCTGTGAGATAAAATGGGAAAGACACTGGGTGTTGTACCCTGGGCTTTATTTTGCAATATGTGGGAGCAGTAACAGGTGTACAGTTTTATTTCATGTGTTGAGAGACAAAGCTGAAAAAGGGACTATGGAAAAATGGGAATAAACAAAGCAAGAAAGGACAAAAGGGAGAATTTTGTTCTTCACCTTTTGGTGGGAAGAAAACACTTTTGCTTTTCTTTCAGGATGAGCTGATGTATATGCTAAGGAAGCTTTTGCTGAACATTGGGGACTTTCCTGCTCAGACATCTCATATCCTCTTTAATTACTTGGTGAGTAGCTTGTGGGCTCCACTGTGTGGCCCACAATCTCTCATCTGCTTTCATGTGTACAATAAATGCACTTGATTTTTCTTATATAGCTCATACTTGCTCCTGGTTGTAGGTGCAAGTCACCAGGTTTCCTTCTGGCCTTCTTGAGAGATGAAAAGGAACCTTTTTCTTTTTATTAAACCCCTAAGCAACCTGTCATGGATTTCTGAACTGAACCTCGGGCAGTGGCTTGAAGAAAATCAGAAGCGTCCCAGCACCAGAAACCTTTAATTATTTTACTTAATTTAGGTTCAGGAAGTGCTTTGATAATAGACAGTCCTCTTGGAGCAAATCTAGAAGCTTCTTTCAAGATCATGGACAAATATTATACATACATATATAAATGTTAGGAGGTGAAGCAGACAAGGTGTATGTATGCTTCTCCAGGGAGTCTCCTGTAATTTGTGAGTTGTCTGCATGGCAGCACTTCAGAGCAGAAAGAATAGGAAGTCTCTAACTGCAGACATTCTCCCTTTTCCTCACCTGCAATGGTGTTTGAAGCTATACTGCAAGAGTACATTTTGCCCCAATCCTCATGATCTCTAGAAAAAGGAAGAATATTACAGGCAGATTTTTCCTTTAATATGGATCGAGTTTCAGGATGAAACTTTAATGAGTTTCTCCCTCTGAATGAAGAATGATAGAGCAATACTGTTATTCTGTGTTTATACAATGCTCTGCACAGTTAGGAGTGTGTATAACCTGATATTCCTCCTCCTCATTGCCTGCAGGTAGGACTGATCATGTATTTTGTACGGACTCCATGTGAATGGGGCATGGATGCCATTTCTGCCACTCTCACCTTCCTTTGGGAGGTGGTGGGTTATGTTGAAGGACTCTTCTTCAAGGATCTCAAACAGACCATGAAGAAGGAGCAGTGTGAAGTGAAGCTGCTGGTGACTGCCTCAATGCCAGGTATAAGAAATAAGTCTTTAAATCTCCTTCACTTCAAAGTTTATGGCCCATTTTACCAAAAAGAAGACACACCAGAACTGGGTCAGAAAAAGACCTGTTACAAATGGCTGTATATTTCAAGGCAGTTTTTTTTTTTTCAGTTGAGTATGCCATCAGTAAATTCTACTGCCAATCCCTTGAGATTCAAAATTCAAAAGAGCTCTAAAAGAAGCAAATGGAAAGTGAATTAGAACAGTATTTCAGCCCAGAGCTTTGTGCCAGTTGGGCTGTGAAAGGCTGGCAGGAGCATCACTGTAAATCTCTACCATTCAGACTCTGGGCATCCTGAGTCAGACACGAGATAAACAGATTTGACCTTTTGCATGTGTTTCCTCCTCAGAGCTGACAGTGGCTGCTCAAGTCAGCTCATCCTTTAAGGACAGATCAATTTCTCATTAAATTGTGGAACTCTGAGAATATGTTATCACTACTTAATGGTTACTACAGGACTGACTCAGTCCATCTGCCTGTCCAGGAATGAATTCCAAGCACCACTCTTCCTCCACGGGCAGCCTCTTGAAATTGAGTTAATTAAAGAGGCCAGGGAGAATGCAACAACTTTTCTTCCTCTAGGCACAAAAACCCTTGTTGTGCACGGACAGAATGAGTGTGACATCCCAACGCAGCTGCCAGTCCACGAGGACACACAGTTTGAGGCTCTTCTGAAGGTAGGAGTGAGATTTTGAGCTGGACAAACTGCTTGCATTTACCTGCCACACCTGTCTGCCAGCAATCCATTCTGCCTGATCACCCTGTGCCAGTGCCAGGAGGGAAATTCTGCTCACAGGCATGTCTGTCTCCCTGTGGCTGCAAAAACCAGGATCCCACGTTTAAGGATCATAGAAATGCTCTGAACTCACAGAAAACCCAAACCTCACAAATGCAACTACACCTGGAGAAACTGCAGCTTGTCGGGTGTTTGCTGTATACTTTTGATAGATACACAAATCATTTAAATGTTTGGTTTTATCAACACTAGAGACGAGATATTGATCAAGATCAGAGTGAAAATGATGGTTCAGTAGCCACAACAATATTTTGGTATCCAGGAGCTGTGCAGTCACTTTCTCTTTCTGCCAAAATTTTCCTGGATGATTTTAATTGAGCCACATAGAAAACAGATTTGTAAGAGCCTTCAGTTTGTCTGACCATGTTAAATTTTACTGGGAATCCCATCTCAGTGTTAGAACTTCAGTGTCTCTGCTTATCATCTATCACTAAGTCTTGGTGAATACCCAGGCCCATATGGCTCATACAGGCAGACAAATATGTGTGATATGAAGACATCAAGATAAGTCTTCAGGAATGTGATTCCAGCATGCCTTGATTATCACAAACATACTCACATACCTCATGATTAAAAAAGGAAATTAATAATAATAATAATATATAAAAAATATATATACTACATAAAATTATAAAATAATAATAATTAAAGCCAGAACAGTGTGCCAGTCTGACTGAGGCATTCATGTTTGTGCCTTTATAGATTATTACATGGACATTCTTTTTTGAGGTGCTGTGATATTTGTACAAAACAATGAAAAAGTAACAGGATATTTTGATTTCTTTCTTTTCAGGAGTGCTTGGAGTTTTTTAACATACCTGAAACTCAGTCTTCTCATTATTTTTTAATGGATAAGCGTTGGAATCTCATTCATTATAACAAGGTAAGGCAAAGATCAAGCCCGTGTGACTTTGTTTTTGTGACTTTTCATCTTGCCTCTTTTTAAACATCAGGGTTATCTAAAGGAGAACAGACATCTATAAATAGAGTTCTGTCCTGTGGGCATCACATCTTTAGTTGTGTGTGGTGAAAGATTGGAATTTGAGAGAAGAGGGGAGAGGCAGAAGGCAAGAATATCTAGTTTTCTTAGAAAAGATCAAATTTCTCTTCTGTTTGTGCTCTTTTGTGATGCCTGACACTGTCTGAAAACCCCTGCCCTTCAGAAAGGGCTAAAGGGCCCCTTTTTTCCATTCTGTTGAGTGATTACATTTGTTTAAAATCACTTTTTTTCCTTTCCTGGCAGACCTATGTCCGTGATATTTATCCTTTCCGGAGGTCAGTTTCTCCCCAGCTCAACCTGGTGCAGATGCATCCAGAAAAGGGTCAAGAGCTTATTCAGAAACAGGTATTTTACTGTCACCAAATATCTCTTCCCAGAAACAAACCCTGAAAAGAAATTGATTATTTTTCCCCCCTCTTTCCCTCATGCTGCATGCAGATCAAGAGCTTTGCTGGAGAAGCAGCAATCAGTGTGAAATCTGCCTTGGGGCCACATATATACTGTACATTATTGCAGGGAGATTAGAGTGGGATGTGAATTCCCCCCTCCCTTACTCTGTCCAGCCAATTTCCTTTAGGTGGATCATTTTGCAGAAAATTAAAAAAAAAAGGTTGTGTGGGAATTATGCATTTGGTGTTAGCAGTTGTGTTTTTGTAGCCAAAAAACAGCTATTGTGGTTGTGTTCTTACTGAGAGTAGGAGAATATCATCAGGAGTGGTTATAAAAGGCAGCTGTAAAGCTGTTAAAATAATGGAAAATAAAGTCAATGCCATCTCATGTGTATGGCACAGAATGGGATGATATCTCATGTGCTGCACCTGTCAGTGGAAAGTCAATAAAAATCTGAAATTACTTGGGATCAACTTGGTTGCTTCTCTAACAAAAATTACTCTGTTTCTAGATGTCCCACAAATAAATGAATTTAATACACCCTATTAAAATTAATACCCTATGATCCAACAACATTTAAATGGGCTTCACATTTTTGTCAGGGCATTATTTTGCTTTCAGCATGTTTATATTTAGAGCACTTCGAGCCCAAAAAATGTCTAAGATAAAACTTGTATCACACATTTGCTTTGCTCTCTGCAGTCATGCAAGATGCTGCTGGAAAACATCCAGCTCCAGCAAAGAAAGCAACGCTGTAGTAACCACTCACAAAGCAGAAATCCATGGAAAAGTTTTTTTGATTGCTTTTTTGTTGATTGATTGAGCACCCAATTCTGAGCTGGGTGCACTTCAGAGCAAGGCCACAGCAAGGCAGGACCTGTGAAGCTGATCTTTGTCACCTGATCTTTGATGTGTGAAACCACATGCTTCAAGTTTTGGTTTTGGCTTCATCCCAGTGGCTATGAGCTGTCCCAAAACTGCTTCCAAAGACAGCTGCTTCTGGAACTAAATATCACTCTGCCTTAATGGTTTCTTTTAGCATAAAAACAGAAATAGAATATCTAGCCTGGGTAGTCCTACCAGTCACAAGTTCTCCTCTCAAGGAGGCTGGTAGAATGGAATTTGGTTTCCCAGCTGGTGTAAAGCAGAAGGGATAATCTGCAGTCAAGCAAGACTTTGCTCCTTTTCAGTAACACGGGATCTGGTCTGCTCTGTTTTACTGGCCTCTCTTTTGCAGTTATACACCTACTTTCTATGGCCAGATGTCAGCCAGAAGGTAGAGAGCAATTCTAACTTCTGGCTGACCACAGTGTAAGACTTTGAAGAGAGGAAATACAAACATACAGGTCTCTCTGACCACCTTGGGGCTTCCATTAATCTACAGACAAACCCGTGGCAAAGTTGAAAATAGAAACTGTTGTTAGAACCATTTTTACAAACACAATCCATCTTTGCAGACCTGGGCTGGAGAGCAGTAGTCACACAAATTCTAGCGAGAGGGTGCAGCACCAGCCCTGAGCATTTCACCATGATCCTCTGAGCCGTGAGTGCAGCATCCCTCTGATCAGAGAAAGCTGTAGAAACCAGCCTGGTGAGGTGCATAAACATTTTAAAGAGCTTTTGGATTAGGCTGAGCCTAATGGATCTTTGTCTGGTTTCCCTTGCCAGGTGTTCACCCGCAAGCTGGAGGAGGTGGGGCGGGTGCTGTTCCTGATCTCCCTGACACAGAAGATCCCTCCAGCCCACAAGCAGTCCCACGTGTCCATGCTCCAGGAGGATCTGCTCCGCCTGCCTTCCTTCCCCCGGAGTGCCATCGATGCCGAGTTCTCGCTCTTCAGTGATCCCCAAGGTAGGATCCTCCTCTGGCAGCTGCCCTGGAGGGCTGCACAAGGCCCAGAAGGTTTCAGTGAGTGCTTCACCTGCCTTAGAAACACAGAAACACGCAGGCTCGCAGCTTTTGTGCAAGCTGGTGAAGCTCTCCTCCTGGGGAAACTGATACAGAGCTGTTGGTTTGTAAGCACAGCAGCACAAAGGGCTTCACTCTTAGAATTCTCCAGACAGGACTACTTGCTTTGGACCCAGATGAGAATAAGTTTTAATTGAGTATTAAAATTATGTGTGAGACTATCTAAAAAGGATTGTTCTAAGTCCTTTGCCATCTGCTTCGAGGAAGCAGTCGACATCCAATGGAGGCTGGGCAAATTCTGCAGCAGGGATAAAGAAACAGTCCACACAGAAACTGCTCGGAATGTAAAGTAGAGTGTAATGTTATGTAAAGTTTCCAGCCCGATGTTAAATAGGTTAAATAGGCCATTGTTGCACGGTGGTAAGCATTGGCAAGTTCTGTACCAGCCCTAAAGGCTCTTGATTTCAGAAGAATTATTGCAACTCTGCATCAGTTTCCTGTAATGGGTGGGACACCTGGAACATAAAAACTGAGCATAAATCTGCACAGCCTCTGTGTGAGGCAGATGATGCATGTACAAACTCAGATCTTCCACTTTTTCAGGGAAGAGTGTTCAACCAGCAGATTAATGAGCTGTGTGATATTTATCATTCTTCATATCAATGCTTTCAGTCAAGGCTTGTGTCGCTGTAGGGGCAGGTGTGACACACAAATAAACACTACATTTCAGAAGGCTAATATTCCATTTATTACAGCAGCACACTGTCATTATACCCTCTACACAGTTCACACTTTGTTCATTGGCTACAACAGATCAACACAACGTTGATTGGTGTCAAGCCATCTACACCTCTGTTTTCCACAAAACTTTTCTGAAAATACTTTTCCCATCTCAGGTTTTCTTCTTGCTTATCTTCTTCTCCTTCTTCTCTTCTTGGTCTCCAGGCCAATGGCCTTGGTCAGAGAATACAAATCTCAGTCATTAACCCTCTCTAACCTACAGACCAGCTGTGGGTCCTACTATAGGTTTGCTCAAGCCCTGCGGGCGCTTAAAGCAACACGGGATGGGTGAAATAATTTAAAAAAGGCAGAAGGATGGTCTTTGTTGTGGGATGGTTCTTTGCAGTGAGGTGAGCTGGCTGTGGTGGGCAGAGCTGACTGTGTTGCTCTTCTCCCCCACAGCTGGGAAAGAGCTCTTCGGTCTAGATACCCTCCAGAAAAGCTTGTGGATCAAGCTGCTGGAAGAGATGTTCCTTGGCATGCCCAGCGAGTTCCCTTGGGGGGACGAGATCATGCTGTTCCTGAACGTGTTCAACGGGGCCCTGATCCTGCACCCTGAGGACAGTGCCCTGCTGAGGCAGTACGCTGCCACCGTCATCAACACGGCCGTGCACTTCAACCACCTCTTCTCCCTCAGCGGCTACCAGTGGGTGCTGCCCAGCATGCTGCAGGTGAGCCACGCCCAGGAGCATGCTGCTCAGCCTCCACAGCATCCTGCTCACTGCTCACACACACCAGCTGCAGGGAAAATCTGGGAGGAAATCTCCAAATTGCCTTTTTTTTTTTTTTTTTTTTTTTTTTTTTTTTTTTTTTTAAGCGGTCCCTCCCCCAGCTGGTTTGGGGAGATAGTTCTTTGGAGAGAAGTGGAACAAAAACTTTATTTATAATAAACTTTGTGTATTTAACAGGCACTTTTTGTGGGCACACACATTTAGAGAGCTAGGGAATTACAGCTTGGGAATTCTTTTCAGGCCTGGATTTCTCCTGACTCTCAGCTCCATTCCCAGGCTGACAAGCTGACTGCAGCTTCAGTTAGGGAGGAAGTCTCCCAGGGTGATAACATGATAAAAAACAGAGTGAAATTCATAATAAAGATTAACACCTGGTGTCTTTCCCGTGGGATACATCCTGAGGTGCTGTCCCAAGGATGTTTTTCCCAATTGTCCAATGAACTACTGTCCTGTCCTAGCCACACTTTAAATATGAGATGTCCATACAATAAAGTTGGCCTTTTTCCCCCAAAAAGGTCCGTGTGTGTTGCTGTCCTTTCTCTCTCTTTGCAGTGCAGTAACCACAACTTTTTAGCATAAAACTGAACAATACTAAACAGCGAAACTTTTTGCTGTTTCAAAGAGATGATATATTTAGAAGAGTCCCTCTCGTGGGTTGCAGCCTAATTTACTTAGTTTGTAATTAGTTCTTTCAGTGCTGGGAAAGGCCCAGTCTAGGTTTGGTGGGCTACAGGTGCGAGCTCCCAGTGTTTTTTTGGAGTTTTTAGTTCAGAGCAAGTTTGAACAATTTCAAGAAAAAGGGGAAAAAAACTACAGTTTAGGGAGTTTTTTTTGTTTTAGTTAGGTAGAAACTAACTAAGAGCAAAGGAGAGTTTTTTCTTGTTCTTTACTGCAGACAACACAGTTTGTGTGAATGATGCAGGGGAGTAAGTGCAGTTTCTGATAACAAACTCTGCACTTCTTTTCCTTTATTCTTGTAATTAGTCTTAAAGCTGCAGAACTCAATGTTCAAGACCAATAGTACAGATGACTGGGGATACAAGTACCATAAAGTTATTCCAAGGCAAGGTCACACCTTAGCAAGAAATTCTTCCTCTGAGGGTACTGAGGCCCTGGCACAGGGTGCCCAGAGAAGCTGTGGCTGCCCCTGGATCCCTGGAAGTGTCCAAGGCCAGGTTGAACAGGGCTTGGAGCAACCTGGGATAGTGGAAGGTGCCCCTGGATGGGCTTCAAAGTCCCTTAAACCCCAGACCATCCTGTGATTCCATGATGGAATCGACACTTGACAGGGAAACTTTGGTCTGCTGAGTCCTCATGAGAGCTTTTAGGTGCCCCAAGAAGGCAACAGTGGGATGGCCCAAATTAGATTTCTATTTCCTTCTTGAGTAAATTACTAAAAATTTCTGTTCTCCTTTGTGCTGAGTAAATAAATATCTGTTTTCCTTTCTCTGTACTTCCACAGAGAAATGTGAAATTTCTGGACTTTTTTTTCTGGATTTTGGGCATCTCTCCATGCTTTTTACTTCAGGAATGGCTGAAGTTTGGGAAATAGTTGAAATATCTGCATTTACTACTTGCTAATTGAAACTAAATTATATTCACTTTCTAAGTATGCAAATAACTCAAAAATGTTTATGAAGAACTGCATGCTGTCTTTTCTTGTGAGTGATGACAAATATTGGAAATGTCAAAAGTGGAGTTTCTCTTCGAGATGAACAAATTGATCTCTTTTCCTACTGATTCTTGAAAAAAAATCAGCTACTGAAAATGAAATTTTTAAAATAGTTCTTTACATATAGAAAGGGTTATTTCTGTAGGGCTCAAAGGCAGTGTCTAAGTAGAGATTTAGTATTATAATGCAAATAGAGAAGAGAAGAATCCCTATACAGGTTCATTTTCACATAGTTAACAGAGAACAATAATTAGAACCAGTGATTATTTTAGCTATCTAAACAAGCTCTGCAGTAACTGGAAAATCTGATATCCTGCCTCACATGATTTGATAAGTATGAATTGGATCCAGGTCAGCTGTGCATGGGTTTATTAATGAGACATTTTGAAATAAAATAGCCTAATAACATAATCATAATTTAAAGTCCTCGACAGTAACCATTCAGTCCTGCAAAGGATTCTCCCTTCATTTTCACTTCATATGGAGAAAAATCAGTTTGTAATTCTTTCTTATCCTCACCCTCAATTACTGCCAACTACTGAATTAAAATACCACCGCTGGGAGGTAAAAAAGCAATTCCAAAAGAAAATCCAAGTGTTTCTGAGCTTGCTTGGTTTTACAGACTTTGATTTCTCTGTGCCAGGCACCCAAGATCAGTTGGTTTGTTTGTGGTCAATTCTTTCACCACTCCTGGGCTTGATCCAGCCTCTAATTGAAGCTCAGCTCCTGATGCATTTCCCCACATGGCTCTTTTTGTTTTTCTACTTTTGTTTATGCATATACAGTTAATTATTTCTATTTTCTAAGGTAAATGAGATGTTGCTGGTAAGCTATGCTATTTTTCTCAGCCTACCAGGGTGCTGCAGAGGTCTCACACAGAGAAGTTGTTCCTGGGAATTCATACTGTTTCCATAACTGAGAAACAAATCCCACAAACTGGCAGCATATTCTCTGCATGGTTCAATGGCCAGACCTGAAGGAAATGCCACTCTAAAAAACTTAAAATATTTTAAAAGTGGGTGGCACTGTCACTGTGTTGGAGTACAAATTATCACGACAATCTAGAGATGCAGTCTGAAAAAAAACCAAAAAAACCCAAACCAGCACACCATCAGCCACAGAATATGGGAAGGAAAGTAACTGATTTAGTGGCACCTCTGTAGGGCAGAATGTTGGAGTTATAGATCTGAAGTCAAACATGAACCAACAGCATCCCTCTGCTGAAGGACAGAAGAGAAAAATATCTCAAATGCCAGTCTGGGGTGATTATACAGATTTGTGTCTTGTGAAAAACATGGAGTAATTCTGCTTTCATCAGCAGCAGTCCTGACTGGAAATGGTGGCTCTATCCAGCTCAGAGGAAGCATCAGTTAACTCAAGAGACTGCAGGAAGACAGGGATGAGAGAGAAAGGACTGGAAGATTTGATTAAGTGGAAAATAAGATTCAGAAAGAAAGCACTAACTGGCTTCTAACAAGTAAAGTGCTTCTAGGAAGGAGAGGGAAGGAATAGACCTCAATATGTAGGAAAAAAATACTGGACTAATAACGTGAGGAATGTCCAATCATGAAAAGCAGGATATCCTTTTTCCTAAGGACATTTTGTCCTTGTCACGGAGGGTGATCCAGTCCCCATCTTTAAAAGAGTGCTAGACAAACCTCTCTATGGGGATGCCAGTGCTGTAGTGGATACAGTCTGGGCTCCAGAGGTGAATTCTTCCCCTGGAGCAGTGCCTGCCTGTCCTTTTCCCGTGTCCCAGGTGTACTCTGACTACGAGAGCAACCCCCAGCTGCGGCAGGCCATGGAGTTCGCGTGCCGCCAGTTCTACGTCCTGCACCGCAAGCCCTTCATCCTGCAGCTCTTTGCCAGCGTGGCCCCTCTCCTGGAGTTCCCTGTGAGTAAAAGCCATTCCTTTGTCTCAGGGGAAGGCTGTGTGTGCAGCTGGTGGAGCCCTGAAGCCTGGGAGCTCTGAGCTTTCTGTGCTTTCCGACACCGACCCCCAAAAGAGCGCTGCTTTTGGCTTGAGGCCTTGGAGAAGGCTTCCAAAACTGAGTGATGGAGTTAAAATCACTAGCTCTGTGATTTTTAGCTGTGTGTAGTTTAGTGTGTAGCTGAAGAGAAGTGTGTGGTGTCACGTGGTGAAAAGTTTGAAATTTAGGATTTTTGGAATATAGTAACAGGTATGGGACGAGATTAAGGTTCTTGGGCCTTGTCTCTTTCTCCTTTTTGTTCCTTCTTCTTCCTAGTTTTAAGCAGTAGTTTTCAGTTAAATAGTGCTGCACTGAAGGTCACAAGTGTTTAGTTATTAAGTCAAAAGTATAAATTATATAGGTGTTAACTTCTAATTAGACTGTTTAGCATTTAAAAAACCTTGTAACTAACTAAATTCACCTCCATTTTGCTCACTTTTAGCTATTAGCTAGAATAAACAACTAAACCCGAACACAAAAAGTTCTGTCTCTCTCTTACTTTAATCCTAAGCAAAAGGGAAAAAAAACCACAAGCCACTAATGAAGTAGTGCAAGCACAAACATGCAGCCACCCCCCATCAGAGGTCACAAGGAGACAACACTCGGTGCTGCACAGAACCAAGTCCTGACTTATTTCTGCACCACTTGGTGGAGCAGGGTGCTGAGACAGCAGGCTGCTGCTGTCCAGGCCAGTAAATGTGGTCTCATTTTAAATTTCTGTGTATTAATACATTATAAAAGGACAGTAATGACTTACAACTCTTTAAATGCAAATCCATTCTTAGAATCCAGCAATAGGAATTAAAAGCTTAACCCCAAGTTTAGTCAAGTCTAAAACTAGATTAGCCAGGTTTTGAAAGGCTCATTAATTATGTTCTAGCATTTTTGGCATGTTAATGGAATGTTAATCTGAAGTGGGGCACTGTCAGCACCCCTATCTTTGTCCTTCCCAGGGCAGCAAAGATCTGTGTGCAGTTTTCAGGTCGTGCTCCTGCTGGAGCATCAGTCTGTTGAGTCAGGCAAGGCTTGCAGGTGGAAAACAACGAGCTCTTGAACTCCATGAGGACCCTTTGTCGAACACAAAGGTTGCCCACGCCTCCAGATAAACATTCCTGGGATGACACGGATGTCTCTCGTTGGAACAGGATGCTGCAAACAATGGAAGCAGCAAAGGAGTGTCAGCTCAGTGCCTGTTTGACCTGCTGCAGTCTTTGGAGGGAGATACTCCAGACATCTTGGACATCTTAGAGCTGGTGAAAGCTGAAAAGCCTCTCAAGTCATTAGGTAACAGTAAAGCACACTTCATTCAGTAATCCTGGTTTAATGTTTATTGATTTAACAGACATTTGATGCAGCATGATTTCTTCAGAGCCCTTCTCTTCTTTAGGAATGTCCTACCTGTTTCCTATGCCTCATGGGGTTTTTAAGACTGGCTTTATTACCATCATTCTTTTGATACTTCAGGGAGGGGAATTATTAATTAGTTTTATTCTATAGCTGCTTTTTCTGCTTTAAGCCTCCTAGTCTGGGACTAGAAGGCGTTTTGAATTCTAACACACGTGAGTGAAGAATAAAGATGCCTAATAAACTGTATGATGCTGACAAGACCAGTGTCATCCTCTGCTCTGCTCCATATGGACAGGAAACAAAATCATCCTCTCCCATGGGCACACTGTGACCAGTAGATGATGATGGATAAAATTCAGACATCCAGCAGTGCTGAACTGCTGGGGAGGTGTTGATTTATCAAAAAGCAGAATATATATAGTTGTATGGTGTATCCAGGACATTCTGTCTCTTGATAGTTATCTATGCAATTCTGTGTTTAAGAATTTGGCTGCTTTGTGATTCTTGCTGATTTTTATAAGGATCTTCAACTTGTTTTCCAAATTTGTACTTCTCTTAAATTCTAGTTATCTTAATGCACTGTGAAGCCTGTCTGGCCTTAAAGTTAAAGCTTTGTAATAAAGTGGGATTTTATGATGCTTCACAATCATTTAGAAAGTTTTTAATATAAAGTGGTATAGAAACAGAAGATATTTCTTCCTCTTTGTGGATTGTACCCAACATTTGTATAAAATCTTGGAGGTTTCTGTGGAGAGCTATTAAAACATCTCTGAAAATTCTCAAGTATGAGTTGATGATGAGACTGTAGATGAGTATGTTGTGTATCTGGTATCTTCTGTATGAAGATCAGAATTATGATTTACATGTTTTAGGACCTTAATTTTGACTTGGGCTCATGCATAACAAAGTAACTTCTGAAAACAAGACTATTGTTCTATTAAAAATATTATTCTTTTACAAATATTATTTTTTCTAGTTTCTTAGTGCCTGGAACTGATTATGCTTATGATATTTGTAGTATGTGACTTAAATGCTCTTGAAACTTTTTTTCTGAAATCACTAGCAAAACAGAGTCACTTTTGTGGTGGCAGCCATGTGGCCATAGTGTAAAAGTATATAAAAAAGTCTACTTTTATAAAAGTATATATATACACTTTTATAAAAGTATAAAAGGGGCTTGATTTTTTGAGAAGTAAAGCTATCATCAGTGGTGCATCAGCATGACTTTCTGCGTGGTTGGAGCATCTAAGATAAAATCATGGGGAGCATAAAAATTATCATTAATTTTACATGTGTCCTTGCCTTATATGAGCTTAAGGCTTAGCTTTTGATGGGTGATGTTTGAAACAGGACTCTGTAGCCTTTTGCTCAGCAGTGAGTGACCTGCTGAGAGCTGTTTCTGACTTCTTGGGCAGTAGGGTTGCAGTAGGAGTGCAGCACACGTTTCTTCTACAGAGACAGATTTTCATCTGCCCAAGAGCCTGTTGGGTGTTGTTAACATGAAAAGCAAGCAACAGGGAAGGGGGGAAAGGAAGTGTGTTAGCTCCTTTCATACTTGGTATGATTGTGTGATAATCACCTCATAATTCTTTACTCTCTCAGACTTCTGCTACGGCAATGAAGACTTGACCTTTTCCATCAGTGAAGCAATCAAGCTGTGTGTGACAGTGGTGGCTTATGCTCCTGAGTCATTCAGAAGGTTGTTGTCCTGTCGTCTTGATTTGTGCAGGCTCAGAAAAGGCACAAAAGCTGTGTATGGGATGTGAAAGCAAGGCTGGCAAATGGAGGCAGAGGGTACAGAAATGAATTCCAAGTATGAGGCTTCTCTGAGGCCAAGCCTCTGCCTGGTACCCCTTCCTGGGGCACCAGCCCCAAATCCTGCCAGCTGCTGGTGCAGCACTCAGCTGGATGGCAGCAATATTTCCCAGTGAAATCCATATTTCCCAGTGGGGACCACCCCTTATCCTGTTGGTTTCTGTCATCAGAGGAGCAAGGGAGGGGAAGAAACAGGCAGCTGGAGAGAATAGGAAGATAAACTTATTTAAGTACAAATGTTAATTTGCAAGAGGGAATCAGAGAATAAAAGGGTCTTTGGAAGAGAAAATGCTTGTTAGCAAATGGATGACATATTTGGAAGATACCTGAAAGTTCAGGGGGTATTATTATTATTATTATTGTTATTATTTTTTCATACATCATCTAGCTTCCCCTTGAAGTTCCTAATCCAATTGTTTCTTTGGCTCAAGATTTCTAGTGAGAAGCAATGAAATCACACTCTTAGTTACAGATCCAGAGTCTTCAGATAGAAACCTAAGCCTCTACCTAACGTGAGCTCAGGGATGATAAAATAAAAAAACCCTAAGTATTGTTATTTTTCCAGCCTCCAGATGCTGATGGTGTTGGAAGCCCTGGTTCCCTGTTACTTGCAAAAACTGAAGAGACAAACCTCCCAAGTGGACACTGGGACAGCAGCTCGTGAGGAGATTGCTTCTATGGGTGCCCTTGCCACCTCTTTGCAGGCACTCTTGTACAGTGTAGAAGTTCTCACCAGGTAACACACGTGGGCCAAGGGGCTGAGCCTGCATTTGGTTTTATTTGCTTTTTTTTTTTTTAGTGCACAGACTGGTTGTCTGTGCGGGGAGAGGGAATGCACAGGAGCCCACAGCATGCAGCTTAGCTTGAGTAATGGTTGAGATTCAGACTTGGAGAAATTAGTGCAAACTTTCAGAGCAAAAACAGAATTTCTGTGTGCTTGTTAGATTTAATGTTTGGTGTGCTGTTCACCTTCTCTCTGCCAGGCCTATGACAGCCCCACAGATGAGTCGATGTGACCAAGGCCATAAAGGAACCACAACTGCAAACCACACCATGTCAGCAGGCGTGAACACCAGGTAAGGCTTTTCTTTCTTTTTATATTTTTTTTTTTTAACAGTTTTGGGTTTGTTTGTTTGGTTTTTTTTTCATTGCTCATGGTGCTTGGCCTCAGGCAGCTGAGGGAGTGCTCTGGGTACTGTTCTGTGGGAGAAAACAGCCACATCAAAAGAGCACATTCTGCATTTCTGATGATAACCCAAGACTAGGATTTCTAGTATCTAAACAGAAGACCTTTGATACAAAGGGTATCAAAATATTGGACACACATCCTAAATTATTCATTTTTTGCCCTTTAGAAGTACATTGCTGAAGCTCACTCATTTTCTGCTTTTTTCCTTCAAAGTGACCAGTGGGCAGAGCATGCTTGGCCAGAAAAAGGGTCAGATCCTTCTGGCCTTGTTTTAAGGGGCTGACAACTTGAAAGAAGTGAAAAGAATGCCTGGAAATATTCTTGCCCTTCTTAAAAAAAATCTCCAAAACCCAACAAAACAAAACACCAAAGAAGTTTCTCACAGAAGAAGGAAATAAAGAAGGACATGGCACCAGTGAGCTTTAATTCTGCTCCTTGGCCATTCCAGTTAGGCTGCTGCAAATTAGACAAGGCTGCTGAAAATTTACTTGGTTATAGAGAAGGGCTTAATCTGCCTACAAGCATTTGGGATTGTGAAGTTTTTTTCTTTGCAGCAGGCAGCTCTGCTGTCTCCTGGCAAGACTATGCCTTACTGTGCTAAAAACCTGACTGTTTGTGCTGACCTGGAAGGGGAATTGCAGCCTAGCAAAAGATTTTTGTTTTTCTGGAGTTTTCCAAGTAGTTTAGAAATCAATTTCTGCATGGATCATCAAAGGGCTATTATGTCAGTTTATACATGTGTGCACATCTTGGTTGATAACTCCAAGTCTGCTGTTCTTTAAAATCTATTCGGTCATGGTTAAAACATGGCTTTGACTTTCAATCCCTGATCTGAGAAGCAGATAAACTCCAGACATGACAAACCACCAGATAAACCAGATATGCAAGTGGACATATGCCATTTACTTCATTTGTGAGATTGCTCAGTCTCAGGAAAATGAGATGTAATGGAAAACAGTACTTTATTATCTATCTGCTGATTTTGGAGAGCAGTTAATACATATCTGCTGACAGACAATGTAGACTTTCCCAGTGCAGTATGAGTCAGGCATCTTGACTTACATTTCCAGATTTTTCTAATTATCACACATTCAACCTCTGATCCAAAATATTTTTCACTGCTCTAGTTTTCCTGCACTTGTTTGTTTTGTTGTTTTATCATTGCAACAGAGATCTGCTAGCAACAGCAGGAGCCTCATGATGTTAGAATGATTACTGTTTGAGCCTTGGACACGTTAGCCAAGTGGTTCAGTGTGCATTAATGCTTTCTCAAAAAGAAGTAATAAGAGAAAATGACAATAAAATGAAAAAGCCATTCTGAGGTGTTCTTTTCACTTGGTGAGCTCTGGTTTCGTGAAATGGAGTGAGTACTGGGTTAAAAAATCAATAAGAGAAATCACTTGAAAGACAACTATGGTTTTAAAGCCTGAATTTTTCCTTTCAGAAGAAGGTCAGTAACTCTAGGAATATGTTTTTTGATGGAAGTTGGGAGATAAAGGCAGTTCAGTGTGGTCAGTAACTATGTGCAGGCATTGTTCCAGTGGCACAAGACACCATCCTGACCTCGGTGCGTAAACCTCTGGGCTAGAACAGAGTCACCTTCTTTTAGAAAGGCAAGTTCAGGCACTACTAAGTTGCTATTTGCAACCTCACTGTTTCTGTTTTCCCAGGTACCCAGAACAGGGAGCTAAACTACACTTTATCAGGTACAGTAAAATTTTATCCCAGTCTCCCCTGACGTGTGATGAACCGTTCCCACACACGGTTGCTGTGACAGGCAGCCTTTTCTCAGGGAACGTATCCAAGGATAGTTCATATAGAAAATATTTACATTTTTAGCAAGACTTGGAAGATTATAACTTCCCTTTTTTGTTTCTTAATTGCAGATGCAACTACCTTTCTTCCAATTGCAGAGGAAAGCATCTGTTGCAAAAACAAGATGAAGAGGTTGTTGTAATCTATCCCTGATGATCTGCTGCATGTAACACTCTCCACTTTGTCTTGCTTTGTATCCTCCAGGGAGAACCTTCACTTAATGGAGGAGGGCCAGGGTCTTCCCCGAGAGGAGCTGGATGAACGAATTGCCAGAGAGGAGTTCAGGAGACCCCGGGAGTCACTGCTGAATATCTGCACGGAGTTTTACAAGCACTGTGGTCCGAGGCTGAAGATTTTGCAGAATCTGGCTGGCGAGCCCCGAGTGACTTCTCTGGAGCTGCTGGATGTGAAGTCCCACATGAGGTATTCCACGGGCATTCTGCTTTTACTTGTTAGTTTCAGGGGGATTCCTTTCTTTTAGCTCTTTCTTTTTCATAATAGCAGATGGAATTGCTTTTTGGTTGTGTGGTTGCATGTTTTTGTCTGAAACTTGCAGAGGCTGTTCTGGATGTTCCTTAGATTGTACTGACTCTGCTTGTGTGTAAAGAAGGTTTGTTAGGCTTTTCTCTGGTCTCATTCTGACCCCCATCTCAAACAGCTCCATCTGATGTCTCAGGACAAGTGGCAACAAGGAGCAGAGCAGATCAGTCTGTCTCTGCAGGGCAAGGGGTGAGGGAGCTGCCCCTGTGGTCGAATACAACCTTTATCCTCTCCAGTGGCATTTGAGCCAGCAACTCACAGCAAGAAAGGCAGAACAGCCACTTTCTGACTGCCTGAAATACAGGGAATGATGAGACAGAGGGCATTCACAGGACCAGCACTTCAGCATGGGATGCAGCAGATGCACAAGTCTTTTCTTGAAGTGCTGCACAGAGTCCAGCTCGTGGGCTGGATGCTCACAGCAAACCAGTTTCACATGGTCCCGGCATTTTGGACCTGATTCTCTGAGTTTGCTGTTCATGGCAAACACAAAATAACACAAACTGCTACTGAGAGGCAATAGCTGGGATAAAAAGGAATAGATCTTATTATTTTGTCAGCTTTTCATTTACACTAGCAGGTGGCAAATACTGCACTCTTTTCAACTCTCGTGGTCAGAGGTTACAGCAGTAAAAAGAGGTCATAGCAGTAAAACTGACATTGATTTACAGCAGATAATAACTTATGCTCTGATTCCTTTACATCTGCTGGAAAGTGCTAGAAATAGCTGCTTTATCAGAGTTGTGACTTCAAGTGCTTAATCATAGTTGTCTCTAAATAAAAGCAATATATCTCAATCCTTACATAAATTCATAAGTATCAGTGACATGACTGACAGGATTTAACCACTCTAAGACAAACTCAGTTCTACACAGAGAGCAGATTTATCAGAATCTGATGTGACAGGCATGGTCTTGGGAGGCTGACAGGTGCCATTTCAGAGGCTTCAGAAAACAGGATAATATGCTAGTCACCTCAGACAGGATTAATCTCACCCAGTTTTAGCCACTTAAAAGTCAAATGTTCAGTCTGCAAAAGTCATAAAGATGTTTTTGCACCCACTGAAAAGGAAGATGTACCTCCAACTGTTTATCCAAGTATTTCAGGAAGATAAGAATTTCCTAGGTTGCTAATTTCTGCTAGGAAGAAGCTAGCAGATTAATTGAGATTGATTTTTCAAGTTGAATGAAATGGATCTCACACTTTATAATGCATAAGGAAATTTTTGTATATCATTGCATGGAACTGGTGTTATATTGCTAGCAAGAAGCTTCATTATATGATAATTTAAATTTCACAGCATTTAAGAAAACAGACCTACTTCATAGTAGGACAAAGCAGGTTTTTAAAAGGAATAATAAAGATATACTGGATAAAAACCCAATTTTATACCATTTTTGGTTAATCTGAGGAACCTGTCACCCTTGATATTCCTAGGCAGATTACAAAGAGAATAGCAATATGTTCCATTAGTTGGATGCATTTCAGAGAAAACCCCCACAATATGGATAGGATTGTACTGTAATCATCCAATACAAAGTCTGTTGGTGTTTCATGTTTTATTTCTGGTCTTTGCTTACCACAAATATCCAAGTATTTCAGGAGATTTTTGTCAAACTGCAAGTGTAAATTAAATGCTGCCATGATATTTCACAGTCAATACAAAGAAAAGCCATTGACAAGGCCATCTGGGAGAGTGGCAAAAGCAACAGCAACACAATCTGCAGAGGCTTTAGGAGAAACAAATAAAAACTGCAGGGAGCAGTCCTACAAAGGATATGTTGTGTAAACCGATGGATATGTTATTTTTAAAATTTAACACCTGTGATACTTAACACAGTGATGCTTCCTAAAGTGGTAATGTTGAAAAACAAGCACAGAGCAAAACTAAAGCACTTACAGACAAACAGGTGATGTTGGGTCTATATTTTGCAGGCATTTGTTATGTTGTAGTCGTATTGCCAGCACAGGTACTTTGGTTTTCACTACACAAATCTGTGATTGCTTATGTTCCCTTGGTGCATTTAATGTCAATGTAAAAATAATATTTAGACCATTCATATGTTCTTAAATATAAACAGTGATTCCAGCAAAACAGAACTCGGGTACCACATCTAAGAATTTAAATAGTAGCACATCTGACTTTTGCACCCTTTTCTTTTTACCAGGCTCCTGAATATTTATCTGCTAGTCCATTGGGATGCGTGTAGAGATGCAAGTTGTATTTATTTCTATAGTAGGACCCACAGCTGGTCTGTGGGTTAGAGAGGGTTAATGAATGAGGTTTGTTTTGAGAAGTATTCTCTGACCAAGGCTGTTGGCCTGGAGACCAAGAAGAGAAGAAGATAAGCAAGAAGAAGCCAGCAGCTGGGGAAGTATTTTTAAAAATAAGTTTTGTGGAAAACAGGCATAGATGGTTTCACACCAATCAACGTTACGTTGATCTATTGTAAACAGTGAAGAAAGTGTGAACTGTGTAGAGGGTATAAAGGCAGTGTGCTGTTGTAATAATGGAATATTAGCCTTCTGAAATGTAGTGTGTCTATCTGTGTGTTGCACCTGCCTGTAGAGCGATGTATTTCTCTCCCCCTGGTGGTTGCAGGCTGGCAGAAATCGCCCATTCCCTGCTGAAGCTGGCTCCCTACGACACGCAGACGATGGAGAGCCGCGGGCTCCGGCGCTACATCATGGAGATGCTGCCCATCACTGACTGGACAGCTGAGGCGGTGAGACCTGCCCTGATCCTCATCTTAAAGAGATTGGACCGTATGTTCAATAAAATTCACAAGATGCCTACCCTGAGGTGAGCAGGTACTCTAGAAACCCTCTGGGGTCCGTTTCTGGTGTTGCAAGCCTTGAAGTGTGGGTATGTCATCTACCTCAAGCTGTCATGTTGCAGTGAGCCTTTACAACACACCAGAAAATTGCAGGTGTTTTTAGCTCTGTAAGTGTGTTTATGTTGGTACTTTTGTTGTGTCTTCTGGTATGTATGGTTATTAACAACTAAAGAGGGAACTCTCAGAAAGATAATTTTTCTTTCCTGAAAAGAAGTCTTCAGATTTTTCCTATCTCGTTGCCCTTTTAATAAACTTTTGCTGTGAGTTTTTAAATGGAAAATTGAATAGCAGTAAGAGTATTTCTAGCATGGCAATACTGTTATGTCCTCTGCAAAGACAAAAATAGTCAGGAGCTGTGCAGTAGATTCTGATTGCTCCCTAGTAAAAGGCAAAGAACTGCATCAACTACTTCAGGTCCATGCCTAGTGGAAGCCAGGTGTATCACAAAGTGGCTTTATGGTACATGCAGGCTTTGCCAACTTCAAGAAGTATTGACTATGGAACATCCCTGCTTGGAGGCAGTGGTACAAATTCAGCCTGGGTGGTATAAAATCACACAGACCTGTGAATTTTCCAGTGATTGGAGTAAAAAGAGTCATTGGTCCTGGTCACCCTCATGGGCATATGTCCTCAACTGCTTGAATGGCACTTCATTGGCAGTCTCAGCTGAGAAGCCAAATCATGTTAGAGAACATCAGAATTATGTCCCAGTAGGAATCAAAGATGGAACAAATAATAGGGAGGTGATCTCTTCTTTCTGGCATCACTGTCCATCACTTTTCTCTGGCTAACCTGCTTCAAGAAACTCCACCCTTGTAGGGAATTCAGAGGCAGAAATTCTGGTGCTTCCCTCTCCTGTTGGTTTGATTCTTTGCCATGTCTTGTCTGCTTCTCATTCATTCCTTCTTTCCCCACTCACACTTTCTTCTGCCTCAAAGGCAGATAGGGGTTTCTGTTCCTGAAGATCCTTCTTCCTTATGTAAGCTGAATGGACATCCATAAATTAAAATTCCTTTCATATTCTCTCTCTCTATGCCTGTACCTATGCTTGGCTTAAATTACTCATCTGTCCACAAAAGGACAGCAAAGCCACTGGGCCAAATGCAACAACTGCATTTAAGCATCACTGAGTCGAGCAGTCTCTTGGGGATGGGTCTGGGTGCCAGACCCCAGGAGCCAACCCTTGGGGTACTCACGATCAGAATCTTACACACTGCCTCCTGTGGGCATCCCACTGCAAACCCAGCGTCTGCTGGAACCAGTGGACATGTAAGAACAAGTACAAACCACTGATCTGGGATTTAGTTACAGTGGATGCACAAAGGTGAGATACATGTTGGTCTGAAGAAAAAGTTGTACAGGGAACACTTGATTCCCCATGTGGCTCTGAGAAGTCACCTGAAGAGCTTGACTGGGATGTTGTTTAAGGCTTGGTTGAACAAGCTGTGCCAGCCTTTTGTCTTTCTGTCCCAGTAAATGCAGTCAGATGCTGGCTGTGAACCACAATGGCTGCAGAGTCAGGCCCTGAGATGAAGGGTGTGAACCACTTTGATGTTACCTGTGCTCTGTCTGCTTGTGATTAGGAAGGGGAATCCTTTCAGCATCTGCTATAATCTCTAAATTTTGTTTTGGTGCCAAAAGCAAAGTGTCAGGGAAGAAAGGATGCTGGAATGAAGGACTTTGGTGCTGAGGGGGAGTGAATCATCCCTCCTGCACAAGGTGGAGGTGGAGATTATCCAGCTGGGCCAGTTTAGGGCAGTCAGTGTCTGCGAGTGGAGCAGCCAGGCTGCAGAGGAGCTCCCAGGGCACTCAGGCTGATGGGGTCTGTCCATGTCAGTGGGAACACCCACAAGCACAGGAGATGGAGGGGAGCTTGGCACAGCAGACCTTTCCCCACACCTGAAGCCACTGTGTGGGCTCCTCTTCTGCATCTCCTGCCCCACTGCTGCTGCTGTGAGGGTTTGTGTCATAGCTCCAGCCAGCTCTGCCGCGTTTCTTGTCTCTCAAACACCTTTGGTTCTGTGGCTCTGTGCCTTCCCGAGCTGCTGGGTGAAGTGTCCTCTCTCTGTCACACTCTGTGCTCCTCCTGGCCATCGTGGCTGTGTGGCACGTCTCCTCTGTGGGTGTCACTGTGTGTCGGTGGCCGTGTTTGGGCGTCTGGTGTGGGGGGCAGGAGCCCGTGGCTAATGGCACCTACTGTTGTATTGCAGGCGCCAGGTTGAGTGGGAGCCTGCCAGCAGTTTGATTGAAGGGGTTTGTTTGACACTTCAGAGGCAGCCTATCATATCCTTCCTGCCTCACCTTAGGTCTCTGATCAATGTCTGTGTCAATCTGGTGAGTAGCCGAGCGGCAACCCCATGAACTTTTGCTAAACCTTCCCCTGCTGTTGATTTCTCTGGACTGAAGATGACAGTTCATTCCCATTCCTGTCACTTTACCTGTCCCCTTTACCCCTCACAAGGGGACTCTGCAGGTGATGACACTAGAGATAGGAAGGTTCATTTTTGAAGTGGTGCATGGGGAGATGCAGTGACCGACAGCAGCGGTCAAGCAATTTATTTTCCATTACTTCCCACGCACCACTTTGAAGATCCACCTTTGCCAGACTGAGCTGAGAGCTGAGGGCTGCAAGTTGGAGAGTGGGGTGGTGGAGACTGCACACACCTGGGAGAGGCAGGGAGAGGGGGGCACTGGGGATACCTACCCTCCCCAGTGGGGAAGGGCCCTGATTGCTCTGCCAGGGGCCATCGGGGGCTGCATAGTCAGAAGGGTTTACAAGGTGAATTGACTCCACTGTTTGTAATGTCCCTGGCTTGATCTACTACAGGTTTGCACTGTGCAATATTCAGATCCCTCTCTCTTAGTAAAGTTTATTGCTCTTAAGTGTATTACGACAGACAAGAGTTTGCCTGATCACTCAGGGATAGACCATGGTGTTTCTGCAGCTGTTACACTGGGGGTAAGGCCCCACTTTAACATCCAGACACTTGGGCAAACAAGCATGCTTTCATTCCAGATGCAAAATTACAAATTAAGGGGAAAAGATTGCATTAGCATTTTATTGTTACTGAGTTTTATAACATTTTCTCCTTAGAGCATAAATGTTGAAACCTTATCCAGCAGCTTACAAGAAACATTTCAGGGCCCACCAGTGCTCTGAGGGGCTTTAAAAACAATGACCACTAGCTAAAATGCAGTGTCAGATTTTGCCAGGTTCCTGTCCTTCAAGTCAATTCATTGCTGCAAGGGCAGGGAAGCTCCAACCTGTCAGAGTCCATAAGACTTCTTCCTCTTCCAAACCGAGGTAGCAGCTACCTGGCATTCGTGTACTTGTACTGCTACAAGTATTTTACCTTTAGCCGTCAGAACTGGGTGCACTGTGAGCTGTGGGAGCACTGACTGGATGGTGTATCATGTTGTAGACCATGAAGCCCAAAAATCAATCACCCAGGAAGGCCGGGAAATATCTCAATGATAATCCGTAATGATGTAAATAAGGGGCTCTGACTCTTTTCCTTCTAAATGGTCCTTTGTTTTTTTGGCAAAAAACCTTTTACTGCCTTTTCCCCGAGCAGAATTTGGAAAAGAAGCATGCATTTATCTCTCACAAGTTTAGGTGTCTGCCAGGTACCTTCTCCCTGTTCCTATCATGTAGCTGTGTCTGGTCATGGTGAGAAACAGGCATATGTAGATCTGTGGTTTAATTCCTCCTGAGGGACACACCTCAAACAGTACAAATAACTCTCCCCTAGAAGTGCTCTTTCCTTGTGGTGATTATTCAAGGAATTCCAGACAACCAGGTCACATTCAGGTGACTCTGCTTCAGACATCGGGGTAAGTCAGCTGAGAGAAATCATGCTTAGAGTTCCCCAAAACAGGCTGTGTTTGAGAGGAATCTGAACATTGTACAAAACCTGGCTTGGGTCAGACTTAGGACATTATTTTTCAAGCAAGGGAAGGGAAAGGATGTCCACTTTCAATGCAGACTTTTTGCTTTGATGACAGATTTTTATTTGTTACAGTTGTCAAATGACATATCCTCCAACTCTAAGCCGTTCCACCAGTCCAGTGCTGGTCATTCAGGGCTGGTACTGGGTACATTTATAAATGTACCTGTGCACTCCTCCCATCCATGCTGGTTCCCTCTTTTCCCCTCCCTTTCCCTGCTAGAACTCCTACAGTCTCCTCAGTGGCCCCAGCTGCTGCAAGGACCACTGTGGGGGCTGGTTCTACTAGACCCACCCCAACTCAGTGCTCAATGAAAGGCACCTCCATTTCACTGACGTTGGAGGATATGGCATGGATGAAACTGTAAGTAGCCAGCTGTGGTGATGTGCTCTGTTTGTATTGCAGGTGATGGGAGTGGTAGGACCCTCCAGTGTGGCTGATGGATTACCCCTTCTTCATCTCAGCCCTTATCTCTCGCCACCTCTGCCCTTCAGCACAGCTGTTGTCCGGCTTGTAGCATTGCAGATACAGGTGTGTCTGCCCTGGCCCATGGCCAGGCCTCTAGAGCTCCTGGTTGAGACACCAACTCAGCAGTGCTCTGTTTTCTTTCTGCAAAAGCTGGGCAAAAACTGTGGAATGTGCATCAAAAGTTAAGGAGGAGCAACATGTAGATTCTCCATCCTTTCTGAAGGCTTGAACTGAGCTCAGAATTCATTTGTTGGGGCCAAGTCCACAGCAAGCATCCATCAGCTTAACACTGCCATTGAAATCCAAGGAGTTTGGCTGATGGATGCTGTTTAAGGCTCTGACAAGCAGGTTAGGATTCTTTGCAGGATCTAAGGAGTAAGACTTCTGCCACAGGAAGGTGGGCCCTGGCTTGGGTTACATCCATGCAACCCTTCCTGTCTTCCTGTGGGACCATGAGAGTGGATTTTGTGCTCTTCTGCTCTTACCTGAGCTGGTCACACAGTGTGCCAGCACAAAAAGCAGGACAACTTGGCTTTTCAGCTGCTGACACAATGGTATCCTTGTTGCCAGAATTAAAAAAAAAAAAAAAAAAAAAAGTTTAGGACTTTTTGGAGAATTTCACCACTATTCCTTTCTCATAGCAGCACTATAACGTTTTACAGTCTTTCTGCCTCAGTGTCCCTTTCCTTCCCCACTGGCATGAAATCAGTCTGAATGGTGACCAGAGAAGTGACAAATTTACTTATCTAGCTCCAACTTGCATTGTAAAATAAGCATTGGTACATCCAGTTGAATACTTAGGCAGGTATTTCTGAGCAGTTTGGGAAGGAAGGCTTACAGGGATCAACACACAAAGCTGTCCCTCAGAGCATGAGGCACAAAAGAACTTTTTGGTTCAAACTGACACAGAAAGAGAACAGATTTCTTCCAGCTCTGAGGTAATGGTTCTCTAATCAAAACAAAATAAAACAAAAGGCCACTTTCAGCTGCTGTGAAATATTATCAATTAAAAAAATCTAAACAGGTAGCATATTTTTTTTAATTATGGGGAACTTTTATTATCCTCTTCTCTCTGTTCACTCGTTTGTGGTCTTAAATGTAATGAAAACCAAACACGTCAGGAAAAACACGAGCCATAATTCCCAATACTTCCAGCAGAATACAAAACAGAAATACTTCACACCCCGTCAGAAAACCTCTCCTAGAATTTCTCAGCCCAGGTCTGCAAGCTTGAGGAGTTGCAAGGTTCAGTTGCATTTCACAGCTAAGTCTGTAACAACTGGGATGTTGTAAGTGAACAAAGGTTCTAGTGACATCCGTTTGAATTACCTCTCTGAAAGAAGGTGAAAAACCTTTCAATTTAAGCTTGGCTGTGTGTCAAGAAGTAAACATGCATTTTGTTTGTTTTTCAGGAGTTCATTCTTTGTGTTAGGGAGGATGACAGGGCAGCACAAAGCGAGGCAGAACAAAAACATGTTTGGGAAAAGCCTCCATGTTCGGGCAGGAGAGTATTTAGATAATGTCATTTGTGCAGTTTCCTCTGTTCCTTTTTCTGTTCTCTATAGCCTGTGTCAGATGCTGATACCATTCACAGCAGTGCAGAGCTTACAAGTGACACTCAGCTGACTGCAGTGGGATACTTCTGATTTTGTTAATGAGAAGTAGGAGTTGGGAGTTTGGGCTTGCTACGTTTGGCTCTGACACGAGCAGGTGATCCCTATGCTACTCCGTGAATTCCCATCACTCCTGACTAAGTGGTCTGAGGGCATCTCATTCAATCAGGTCATCAGTGCTGGTGGTGTACTGTGTGAACAGGGATCCTCATTCCCTGCAGTGACTTGTTTGTGTGATGTGTGATGAAATCATTTAATCCTTTTTTATTATTGCTGCACAGGCTTTGAAAGAAGATTTCCCCCTAAGCCATGTCGTCTCCCCATTCACCAATCAGGAAAGAAGGGAAGGAATGCTTTTAAACCTACTGATTCCATTTGTGCTCACAGTAGGATCTGGAAGCAAAGGTCTGACTAATTTAACAAAAAGAATTTTTTTCCCCCTTTTCTGACAACTGATGTTTGCACTTTCCCTGCTCTCTGTATTTTATTTTTATTTTTTAATTTGGTTTTCTGTCACTGGCAGTATGTCAGCTAAGTGCCCTTTGGGTCTGAGACTGAAAAGAGCCCCATTCGGATTAGTTATTATTTCTTCTTTTTATTTCAGCTGTGCCTTGGTTCTTGAGTCAGGTCTTACACAGATGTCCTCCTGCTTTTGAAACTGGAGTGCAGGGCAGGACAAATCTATTGTAGCAGAAGTCACAGAGGGGAGCAAAGGTCACAGAAATTGTGTGCCCATGTGGATCAGAGTTTTCCCAACCCGTGCCACTTGTCTTGCACAAGTCCTGTTCCTTGCTTTCTGCTATAGAGGGTCTTCAGTGGTAAATCCCTAAATGAAAGCGAAGAGTAAGGGGAGAGGGGAATGCCAAAAGGAAATGAGACCACTGAATGGGACATTTCTTTGTGCTGTGTAGCTCTGTGTTTGTGTGTGTTCGTGCTGGTGCTAAAATAAACTTTGCCTTTGCTTGCAGGAGGAGAAGCAACATAACAAGGTGTGGGGGACGGAGTTTTGGCTTAGGGGACATTTGAGATGCACCCCCGTTTTGGAGCTGAACGGGGTCTGGATCTATTGAGTGTCTGTGATGGGATGTAGGCTGATCTTTCTCTCTCTTTCCCCTCCCAATGCATCTCAGACAGTCCCTGGCTGGAGCAGCCTGAGGTCCTGCTGCTGCTCCAGACTGTTATCAATATCCTCCTGCCACCTCGCATCATCAGCACCTCCCGCAGCAAGAACTTCATGCTGGAGAGCTCCCCTGCCCACTGCTCCACGCCGGGCGACGCGGGCAAGGACCTGCGGCGCGAAGGGCTGGCAGAATCCACCAGCCAGGCTGCCTACCTGGGTGAGTGATGCCTTCTGCTGCCCGCCGAGCACACACACGGCTAGAACAGGTGGCAGCCACCTCAGGCAGGAGCTAACTGGCCTGTCTAGAGTTGCTTTAGGCCCTGTCCTGAGCAGGAGGCCAGGCCAGCCCGTGAAGTCAGGAGTATCCCTGGGATATATCACAACGCCAGCGGTGCCTGCGCCGCAGCTGAAGGAACAGCAGCACAGGTAGAAGTCATTCAGTTCTCTCACTGCCAGGCTGCAGCTGTGCAGCCACAAAGGCGAGTCACACTGCCCATCAACCCCTACCATCACAGCCCCCTGGCTATTAGGGTCAGAGGTGATGTAGCCTGCCTGGCTGCTGGCCCCACGCATGGTCCTCACTGACTGGTATGCCCTCTACTTGCTGTAGGGTGCTGCAAGGCAATACTGTATTATCCCACATCTCACCCACAGGTGAAAGGACAGAAAAAATAATTAAATTGGAGATGCAGCATCGCTGAAGGCAGTCGGGCCAATACAGGAACAGTTTTGTCTCAAAGCACCTGTCCAGAAACAGCCTCTCTGTTTCTGGCTTTGTGAGGCCATTTAAGATTTATATTTGGGTCTTTGTTAACCTGTATCTGAGGAATGGAGTAAATGTGATGAAAAATTGGCAGATCACCACTGATTTAATCCCCTCCCCCCCAAACAAACCGGGATACAGATGTGTAATGGCTGAGAAGTCTTGGCCATCCCATTAAGAAAAATGGAGTAGTCAACTTTCCCCCAACAATTCCCAGGCCTTGCTGTTTTTATCAGACCAGGGGAGCACAGAAAGGGGGAGATTCCTTGTGTCTCCTGTGAGCCAAGTGTTAATCGCTGCCCAGTTTAATGCAGAGCATTGTTTTGAACTTGATTGCTGTTCATCCCCATTTGTAATGCCATGCTCTTGCTCTTGGCTTACTGGACCATATTTGTATTTAAATTGCAGTGTAGCCATGACTCATGCAGTTGCATTGCTAGAAGGGTTCTTGTCATCACCCTATAAGTGCTCACTGGGTGACTCTTTGTGTGGATATGCTTGGTCGAGATTTTTGAGGTTATGTGATCAGCCAGGGCTGTATTCGTTCTCTGAGCTGCTTCCAAAATACCTGATTCTGAGAAGACAAAAGAACTCTGCAGGGAAGGGAGAAGGAAAACCAGAGCAAGAAAATACAGAGGAATTTAGGTATGAAGTAGAAAAATTTCTCTTGAGATGGGACTGCCAGTCCTGATCGTGAGGCCTTTACTACTAGAAGGCTGGTTGGTCCTTCCCTGCCATTTTTTGGAGAGTGATAGAAAAGACAGTTGTGCCTCTGAGGTGTGTGGGCATGCATGTGCATGTACATGCAAAGCATGCCTGTGTAGGTCTGTGCTCACTGTGGCCCCTCTGTCCTTCCCCCAGTGCTTGTGAGGGACACTGGTGACATCTCTGACTGCCCTTTGCTGCTGTGTGTTCCCCTGTAGCCCTGAAGGTGATCCTTGTTTGCTTTGAGCGCCAGCTGGACAGCCAGTGGTACTGGCTGAGCCTGCAAGTGAAAGAGATGGCCCTGAGGAAAGTGGGAGGGCTGGCCCTGTGGGATTTCCTCGACTTCATCGTGCGGACACGGATCCCCATCTTTGTGCTCCTTCGGCCCTTCATCCAGTGCAAGGTAAAACAGCTGCTTTGGCTCCTGATCTCTCACTCCCTGAAGGCAAGATAGCCATTGTTCCCCAGCTGGGAACAGAGAAACAGCACTTCTGGAAGAACTACATGTAGTGAGTGACCTTTGAGAAGTTAGTAAGCCTAAGAACCCTTTAAAACTAAATCAGAGAGCTTTTTCTTGGCCAAAACTAAACAGGAGCTCTGATCCATGGAGTACAGCTAATCTTAGTTCCTCCAGATGGGGAAGTGCATGTGGAGTTAATTCTACAATGAAGATATTCAAAGCACTTGGAAGGAGTGTGGATGTGCTGAACCTGGGAGGGTGTTGGCAGAAATCTTCTAGTAATGTCTCTTCTGCAGCCCTCCCTTCTAACAGCCAGGAAGGACCACTCCCCTTTCCATCCCTTGGAGGAAGGTTCTGGCAGGACTTTTGTGGATGAACAGGCAGCTGCTAGGCTAAGGCATCTGGGGTTTAAGTTAATCACAGCTCCTTGCTGGCTACCAGGCAGACTAGCACATGGTACTCTACCTTATTTAGCCTACCTTGTGTCTTGGACAGACTAAATAGTCATGGGGGAAGGAGCTGTCTCATGACAGGATCATGAGGATAGAGCTTAGCATAAGGGAGCCCTCATCTCCGTGTGCCACTGAACCTTTGATCTCTGTTCAGTCAGACATAGGATCGCCCCTGAGAGACAGGTGGAAGCCTGACAGATGGGGCCAAAACCTCTTGCCTACAAAGCCTGCTGGCTGGAGACTAGTCCCAATTCCCTGAGCACCATGTTCCTGCAATGCTAATGCATCCCAAATTTGCAGCTGCTGGCGCAGCCAGCTGAGAACCACGAGGAGCTGACAGCCCGGCAGCACATCTCGGACCAGCTGGAGCGACGGTTCATCCCGCGCCCGCTCTGCAAGAGCTCCCTCATCGCCGAGTTCAACAACGAGCTGAAGATCCTGAAGGAGGCTGTGCACAGTGGGTCTGGTGAGGAGGGCAGCGAGAGCTCAGGGCATCACCCCTTGCCTTGACAGTGACTTGTGAGGCAGAGCTGGTTTCTGCCTAAAACGGGAAAGGTGCTTTGGTCAGCCAGAGGGAAATTCTGGAATATGATCCATGCCCAACATCTGAACACATTTGGAGCTCCAGATGTCCTCATGTCCCCTGGTTCTCCTGAGACAAAAGCTTACAACGACAGCTCAGTGCTCACACAGGACCTGGGTTGTTGGTCTCCCACTGGAGCAGAGCCTCCTCCAGGCAT